CATTACAATTCATATTTTGTTAGTTATCTTGGAAGACAGCCGCCATTGGTTCCTTCTCTTTTCATCATTGCATAATTCTTATTCGTATTTCACCACAATCTTATTTCATTCTTAATTCCTCATCTTTATTTCCGACTAATTGACTCTTTTTCGCTTAAATTTTTTGCAGATTTTTTCAAGCCCTTTAATAAATTTAATAATTTAAACGAACATTAATATAAATTTGTTTTTCGTCTTCATTTGCCTTCAATTTTAAATAAATTATAGATAATTTTTATTAAATTATAGGAAAAAAATCACTTCATGTTACACTTTTTGCTACTTTTCATTAATGAATCTTTGGATGATTCAACAACAATTCCTAAATTATTGAGGTGCTTATTTTACCGAAATTTTCCGTATAACTCAATATATATTGCAAACAAATTTTCAGTGAAGTTTTAACTGTGATATGAATAAAATTTCAAATTGTTTCTGATACTTCTCAAAAGTTTTTCTTTTCTTTTTAGTAATTATTTTGCAAATCTTTGTATGATTTTGTATAGTCTTTGCTAAATTTGTTTTCACTTTACTTTACTGAATAATGTTGAAGGCAGATATAGCCTCGAACCTCGAATGCCAAGTTTAACGAGGCAAGGTGATTACTAACCACTTATTACGACAGTGATTTCGGAATTTTTGATAAAATTTGATATCAGAATTTTGCTCAAACTGCATTTGCAAAATAATACTGCTTCAATCTGTGAATGATTTTTTTTTGCTTAAATTTCTTCTAAAAATTTATCAATGACTGGAATCCTGTGGTATTTGGTCAAGTTATCTATTATATGGCTAATCAAATAAGCTATTGAGTTTTTGATTTTTCGAGTTGCTATGTTCATAATGTCAATGTTGTGGGTAAATCTCCATTCAATCCATTCAACCCAGTATTAAAAATTATAGGAAAAGTCATTGATTTTTGTTCGGATGAGTTTTCATTTCTCATGTTTTCATTTGCTTTTATTCAAAAGGTGTAAAATATTCTTTTGTTTCCTTTCAAATAAACTTTGATTACTCTTAGCATCTTTGTTTCTAAAAAAGAATTAAAATAGTTTTATCTTTTAACCAAAGCCTATCAAATGAAATTTATATTGAAGTTCATTCAAAAAAGAAGCAAATTAAGATTTCACATAAAAAACGAATGAAAAAAGAGTAGGCAATTTTATAGCTTTCAATTTTTATCGCAGTATTAATTGCAAATTTGCAGTCAAATAAAAATTTATTTTTTTGAAAAAAGTTTGTATTAAAAGTTCATAGCTTTTTTCTGAAATCATAACATTTTATTAATTGTATGTTTTTCTCCTTCATGTAATGCAAACCAGTTATCGTTTGGCTGGCTGCATATGCTAATGGGATGAGAACCTTTCGCCAGGGAGGTACTTTGGGATCGAATTACTAAGGTACTACCCGCTTTCAGTTTTAACGAAGCTTTTTCGTTTCAAGAAGCAAAAACCGAATGACTTGAAACAATGTATCGATTAACCTAAGTACCATTTTCCACCACGCTTATAAAATTCTTAAATTTTAATTTTTATATTGTTTTATAACTGCATACCAGTAATTTAAATTATATCTTGACGTATTAATAGTATCTTAACATATTGATTATATATTCCATATTAATATTCCAGTTTAGATAATTTAGGTAGCTGAATAATTTTATCCTAGATGCAGTTGGTCCAATAATTTTCCTCGATTATTTTTTTTAATATTTACAAAGGTTATAATGATTAATATTAAAATTATGTTGCAAATTTTAGATTACATTCTTAAATAGTCGCAATATCAAGTAAAAAAGCAGTTAGCATTCATTATTTCTGATCAGTATCTGAATTAGTAGAATAAGACAATTTGGTCAGAATCATATCTGAATGAAATACCAAGTGGATTCCTAGCATTATCCGGATTTTTTTGGAGAAAAAATTTATTCCTGCCAACTAGCAATTGAATTACAGCATTAGATAATATATTTGACCAAATATCACTGATTGTTTTAGATTTGTCGAAAAAGTTGGAACGATCCTAACAAATAATGGTTTGAGTTAGAAGAAATATTCATATGACTAAATATTTCAGATTTGTCAAACGCTGAGATTGTTTTCATCTTGAAACAGGAAATCAGAAATCAACATTTTCGGCACATTTTCAAAATTTGAAATCCTCAAATGAAATTAGTCACTGACCGCTTATAGCAATATGCTTTTTGACATTATCATTGGAAATAACGCGAAAAAAATTTGCGCAATTTATTGAAATTCAGGAATTTTTACTCAATTTATTTTATATTATTATTCTTACCTCTCTAATTATTCAAAGGTTATCAATAAACCTTCTGCCTATCATCTTTCAAACTTAAACTGCTCACAGTACTGGTGGATATTATTAGCTGCTTCCATCCACTGACTGTACCAGTGAAAGGCTATTATTTATTGTTATTTTTACTCATTGTTCAGTTCAATAATTTTTAAAATTTGGAAATGAACTGCTCATTACTATGCTAGAAAACTTCGATAACTAGTATGAAAGAAGCCTATATTCAACATTAGATCTCCAAATTCAAACTGGCTATGAAATATTATTGTAGCTACGATATTGCCAATACTTGCAAATATCAACCAACAATAGCCTAGACTTACAGTAGTTTTTATTCGAAATTTAAAGTTACTACCACAAATTATTAGAAACTGATTAAACCATTTTTTATGGTATCGATTTTAAATATTTATATCAAATTATTTACGACGGATTTGCACTAATTTATTTTTTTAATGCTTTATCCGCCAATTTAATTTAGGTGAGCAATTTGCCAAAATTATTTTTTCAAACATTTTAGAGCATTTCGTTCTTTGATCATTATTCCATTTTGTTTCTCATAAATTTTTAAAGATTTCAATATTCTCTTACATAAAATTATTAAGAAAAAAATAATTAAAGAAAATTAAATAATTTTAGTGCGGAAATGTTTTCACGAATTTGGAAGTGCATAATCACACTTAGTCAACAAATACAAAATTACTGCTGCCATCCAGATGAAAGTCGTCGGGATTCGGATATTGAAAGCAAAAGCCGACATTCAGTTGATGCACCTTTTCCTGAATATGTTGACGAAGACTCTTCAGCTCATCATTTGTCCAGGAGATCTTCAGTATTAGTTCGTTTTATATCAAATTAGTTTTATTTAAAAAAATTTTTTCCATTCTTAATGTATGGTACTCAAGTTCATTTGTTATCAGCAGGAGCAGGACATTTCATTTCACATCTCTTTTTTATTCCTTTATTTTTGCCATTCATTTTTCGCTTTTTTCTCTATTGTTTCCTCCTTTTTCTTCCTTTCTTACCTTTACTTTTTTCATTAGTCCTATAACTCAGCAGCATTAGTAGCATCAGAAGCATTAGTATGTAATCTGTGGCATCATCGTCAACTATCCCTACTGCGTTAAATGCTTCTCTCGAATGGAAAAAGATTATGAAGAATATACTTTAAATCGGAATTGGATTACGATTTTCGATAAAAAAGGAAATAATTATTCAAAACAAAGTAAAACAAGAAAATAGAATGAGTTTTTTACTTTTCCTTTCTTTTACTCTGTTTTCCGCTGAATATACTGAAAAACAGATTAATGGTATTTGTGATTTTATGAATGCGATTCGCATTCAATGAGAAAATAACAAATTCAAAAATAAAATAACAAATAACAAATAACAAATTCCAAATGCATGAAACATTTTTCGGAAGTTTTCGCTTAAAATATTCCAACAGCGCATAATGCTTCAGAATTTCTTGTGCTGTTTTTTACACTGCCTGAAAGATTGGTTTATGCATGGAATAGAATAAGCTACTATGAAACAAATTATAGGTCGATTTGATTGCTCTCTTTCGTGGTTCCACAAGTCCTGGTAAGCGAATACGACTCCCTGGACAAAAAAGTTTGGATGATGAGTAAGAATTCTGCCATGAATAGATGAAATAAGCTTATACAATGATATTTTTTCCATTAAACTTTTAGAGAAAAAATGATAAAATGTTGTGGACTGGATATTCTCTTCTTAAAATATGCAAATTCGCAGATATTATGGGTCCGATGTGGAGGAGACGGATCATATGTCAAAGGAGCGAGTACTAGAAGCCATCAGGCAGAAGAAGGAAGCTATAGTCAAACTAAAAAGCCAGGCATGGAGCATGAGCAGAAAAAGAAGAGCATTAAAGTAATTCTTCATTTGATGGCAAAATTTTTAAATGAGCCCATCGATCTTCCTTCTTTTTTAATGCATACCATGGTGAAGCCATTGGTTCGATTTGTTAGGTCTTAGTTTTCTTTAAAAATGCTGGAAATAAATTGGTGAAACAGATAAAAACAAAAACAAATCTAGAGAATGAAGCTATCTGCTAATGTGTTACACCTCATTTAAATTAGATAAATCGCGATGGTGAAAAAAGACAAGAAAATAGATATAATTTATCACCAATGGTGAATATTTCTTCTTCGAATAAAATGCTACTTTACCGCTAAAATATTACTTTATTTTATTTTCCTGTTAATACAATTTTTTTAATTTGCTTTTTCGCTAATATAAATTTTATTTTTAATTTTAATTTATTTAATTTCTAATTTAATGCAAATCAATGAGATCCGTAAAATTTTGCTGAATTTCAAAGAGCAAATAAGAAAAAGTTTGTAGAATTGATGGGATTAAATTATTAAATGATTTACTTTTATTTCCATGCAGTTCTAATGGCGCTGTTTTTATCACCTATTTCCATTCCAAAATGACTCTCTGGCTACCTCATACTTATAACCAGTGGAATAAGCTCTATCAAAAATAATTGCTCGGGCAAACAAGTTCCATCTAGTAAAAGTTCCATTTCTTTAGCTGTTGAACTGAATTTTTCAGACTCGTTTTTTTATTTCCTGAAAAAAAAAGAAACAAATAATATCGTATTTACATTTTATATTTATTAGCAGCTTGCTGAACTATTAGTTTGCTGGTTCTCATTATTTCCTCCTCGACTGTTAGAAAAAATAGCAGTTCAATTTTCAAAAATAAATAATTGTTGAAGAGTAGCGCGACGATATCTCGAAAAACAACAATCAAAAGTATCGAAATGGCATTTATGGAAAGTCGAAGTTATGCGGCAATTAACGATTTTCAGCCGTTGGTGCAATAATATGAGGATTTATTTAATTCCATGGGAAGCAAAAATCAAAAAAATTGAAAGTAATTTATCATTATTTTATCTAAAACAAATTTTCTGCGATAGATCTTTTAAAATTATGATTACAATTTTTAGTCTATCATTCTCATTCAAATCGAGTCGGTTATTTAATAAATTAAATTAACCTGTATTAAATTTGATTAATTAAATTTGCAAATGAAGTAATAGTAGAATGAACTAGAAAATCATGGATTTAATGAAAATACGCTTCCATGTTAAGCTTCACTAAAAGTGCAGCATTGAACTATTACAAAATAATTACAACCAAAATTTATTATTTAAAAAACCCAAAGTTTTATATTTCAACCAAGGTAAGTAATTATTTACTATAGATTTTTACAACCGAATATCAATAATTCAGAACTTCTTCAAAGTATTAGCTTAACGCCTTATCACTTTTGCTTTCTGATAATGTCTAATTCATTTTCATTTATTCATTTGATTCATTTTTTCTGTAATTTAGTGGAAAAGTTTCGAATTAAAGTCAACAGCCATTAAAGTTGTCATTTTCAGGTCATTACGGCTCTGTAGTATCATCATATTTTACTTTTCTTCGATGGGTACTCAGCGTAAATATTACAATGACAGTAATAATGATGTTGTTTGTAACTATTCCAGAGGTATTGATAGATGCTACTCTCAGCTTTTTTTTTTTGTGTGGTTATTCGAAATATACGATACTTCCATGAAAAACAATTATTCAATTATTTAAGTGTGGTGAGAGAAAAGTTGAATACTTTATCTCTTTGAACTGTTAAATTATATTTATTGTATAAAATGATTATAGTAGCCAATTTTCGTGTTCTTTTTAACTTAAGTGGTTAGCCGATTCGAGAGGTGGACCGGAACGATACAATCGGACCTATAATATAAAAATTATGAAGCCAGTAGATGTGCAACGAGCTGATGAACTGAATACTGTTCTTGATTTCAAAGTTTTTTTTGCTCTTACATTTTTTTGTCGAATTACATGCGAAAAAACTTTTTAATTATTCCTTCTTTTAAAAATAATGCAGGGAGAGGCAAAAAAAAGGCAAAAATAAGAGGCAAAAAGAATTTAAACTTATTCCATATTATTTTCAAGAGCTTCAAAGTTTTCGAAAATCTTCCAACATCGGTGCAAAATTAATGAACTGAAAAGTTTTCATTATTTGGATTATCAAAATTTCTCATTTTTGCAGGGTTATTTTGAATATTCACTTCTATTTTATGGATATTACAGTAGCGAAACATATTTTGGCGATATTGTGCAGTATAGTGTTCCTGTGGCTTATTTTATCGTCAATTTATTTATTCTGGGCTATAGTTTTTTTGTCATTCTTCGAAAGTTCGTTCATTTTTCCATTTGATTATAAAATTTCAAGAATTTCTAAATTCTAAAGTTCGTTTCTAAGATTATTAATCAAAAAAAAAATATTTGGTAATCATAATCAACTCAATTGTCCAAATATTCTTAATGGCATTTTATATAGTCCATATACTTTGTAAGAAGGAGAATAATCAACTAGTTGAATAATAATAATAATAATAATAATAATAATAATAATAATAATAATAATAATAATAATAATAATAATAGTATTAATAATCATAATACTAGTTGAGTAACAATAATAATAAATAATAATTTTTTAGAATGGCTGCAAATGCTCGTCATAGTAAACTTGCTGAAGGAAAGACTCAACAGTATATTTTCAATTGGAAATTGTTTACCGGTTGGGATTACACAATTGGAAATCCTGAAGCTGTTTCGAATGTACTTATGGCAACAGTCATCAAATTTCGAGTGATTTCATTATATTTCATTACTGATTTTTTCAATTTTTTTTCAAAATTTCTATAAAATTTTTATAAAATTCTATTTGCATGCGTAAAGATAATGCATCTAAGTTGCACTTTTTTAGGAAATAATCGCAGAATATAATGAAAGTAAGAGGAAGAAGTTTGAGTAAGTCAAATTAACTAATAAACTAATAAAAAAGACAGTAAAATACTTTTGAATACACATGCCTTTTAAGATTTTTTAGAATCTAAAATATTTTCTGTAATTAACATCTGAAACAAAAAAAATTTCGAAAAAATCGTGCATCGAGTGAATTATATTTTGTTAGGAATTTGGAAATTTTTGTAAATGTTATATGTTTCAGCTGTTTACAAATAACGCTACGAATATTTGCGAATATGTTGGTCATAACTATGTTGGCTGGATCTGTTTGGGCTATTTTAGAAGTGAGCCAAATTAAAACAAAAACGACCTTCTTGCAACGAGTTCGTGCTCATTTACTCTCACTCACTTTCTACTCTCACTTTTTTTTTCTACCATCAAATTTATCAATCCAAATTTCTTAAATATGGATGGAGCAATCTCTACTCTGGCAGTAAAATGGCTCAGTGGGTTGTTACTCAATTCGGACCAATTAGCTGACGCTGAGGTTCTACTCCCAGCAGGAATAAGGAGTTCAAAAATCGGGTTATACTGGCGAGTCACCTCTATTTTCTATCGCCAAAGGACTCCCTGACTATATATTTGTCTAATACAATAAGCCGGCGGAACGAGTCTAATCAGTAATGGTGAGGCCTCCAAAAAAGAAATCCCTGCTTAGTATATAAAAGCACTTTTTAAAAGTCGAAAAGAATACAAAACGCTGGAAATATAGTTTTGCATTAATATATAATTTTATTTATTTTATTTATGAGTCAATTTTTATTTCATTCATTCATTTATGCGTAAATTATCTTTAGAATGCAGTATCTATCACTGTGTCATTTATTACATTGACATTTCCGAATTTTTTCGATCTCATTAGCAAAATTGAACGTTATCATCCGCGATTTGCTCTCCGACTTCAACTAGCAAGGTAATATTATATTTAAACTGGCACTCGAAAATACAAAAATTGCATAATTTATGGAAAAATAAGTGAAAAGCGCGTTTCAAAATCACGGTTACAATATTTCACTGTTTTTCAGCAAAGATTTGGAATAGTCCACAGCGATAAAAATAAATCTCTGAGGCAGATATTAATATTGAAATCTAACTTATTTGCTGAATTAAATTCTTTAGGTTTGAACCTACTGAATATATTCCTGATTCATATGATTCATGAAAAAAAGAAAAAATATAGTTTATGACATGCAAAATTTTTTAAGGGTGTTATTTTTATACATTGTCAATTATTATACATTAATCGTCTCTCTCATGTTCATGTTGGACACAATGGAGAGCCAAAGAAGCGCTGGTCAGCAATTATTATTGGCTGATCAATATATGGACAATCATTTTAACTTCCCAAAATTAAATAGCTCAATTTCCTTTGCATTGTTTAATAGGTAAGTTTGTACGTTTTATTTACAGAAATTTTATTATCTGTGGTCATCATATAATAAACTTCAGGACTAAACGAGAGTTTTTACCAACTACCATCGCTAATATGACGCAAGAACCGACTCCGGTAACAACACTGAATATGGCTGACACTAAAACTTGGACCACAGTAGGTCTAAGTTTTCAATGATTATAAGAATTAAGCAAATTTATTATCGAAAAAATTTGAACTTTTAGTATTCTATATATATATATATATATAAATTAACAGTCATAATCGAGAGAGAATGAATTATTCAACTAACATCGGGAATTCATTTTATCTCAGACCCACTGACATGCCTTAAAACATCGAGCAAAAAGATCATTTACATAAATTCATGCCATTATTTATTGTGTTACAATGTTGATAAAACATCCCATCTAAAAATCTTAGGTTTTTCCAAACTTCGGTCCATTTGCTATAGCAAATCCAAAGGCAATCATATCAGAAGGCTCAAAGATTTCAATTTCAACGAGTCGTTTTCTTGCGCATCCTATAGGAAAAGCAGACTGGTCGAAAAACACAACAGATGAACCAACACCGCTTAATTATTCCACAGGTTTTCATGCGATATCTGCTATGCAAGTAACTGATTGGTATGATGAATGTTGGGAAAATCTCATAGGTCAGGTAAGTCCATCTAGTCGATCTTTCTGAATTACCGCAATCTATGAACATCAGAATTTCAAGGAAAAAAATGGTATGTAAATAATTTCAGAATTTCTGTAATATAATCTAATCATTGTAAAATTGCACAGGAAATTACGAAATTAGTAACAATGGATCTGCTGATGACAATCGCATCAATATTAGTTATTGATTTTCTTCGTGGCCTTTGGGTACGACATTGCAATTTGTGGTGGTTCTGGAATTTGGAATGTACTTTTGTAAGTCTTCTGAGCAGCATAGATAAAGCTTAGATAAATCTTAAATTTTTAACATTCCATCAACTTTTATAGTTCCCTTTAAAAATTTTTTCGGTAAGTGGCGAAAATTTTTAAGTGTCGTGAAGCTTAAGCAAATTCTTAAAAATTTCCAGCCTGAATATGGAGAATTCAAAGTCGCTGAGAATGTTTTGCATTTAGTGAATAATCAAGGAATGATTTGGCTCGGTCTGTTTTTTGTGCCCATGTTACCAGCTATAAATAACATAAAATTAATTATACTTATGTATATACGCGCTTGGGCTGTTATGACATGCAATGTTCCTGCAAGGCAAATTTTTAGAGCTTCAAGGTGATTTTTTTCTATTTTATCGTTTCCCAAAAATATTTTATCCCGAACCAGTATTATTCTATTTTCGTGGAATACGACCGAATAGTGAGCTTTGAGGTCAGTCATTGCAAGTTGATGGGACTAAGTAATGGGTGTCGGAGGCTATTTTAGTTTCATTCCTAAATGACTCTCTGCGACTAAGAGATCCATTTTCATAGTTCATGAACTTAATAGAAAAGGTGAATGCTGTTAGAAAAAGATAAATGTATTGAATATTTCCACTGATTACAATATTTCACTATAGCTTATATAACTATCTTAACAGTGATTATTGAGTGATTATTGAAATAAAGTAAATCCTCATTTCCCTTAGAATGATTATTAGAAAAAAAAAGAGGAATATCAACTGATGACATTTGAGGATATAATGGCATAGGGTATTGTTTCTTAGTTCCTAGCGCCAATGCTGAGGTTCTATTCCTCGCAATAATAAACCTGTCCAGAAATCAAGGTGATGCTGGCGACTGACTTGTACTTCTGTCGGCTAAGAGAGTCCTTGGCATATTTGTCCAGTGTGATAAACCAGCGGAGCGAGTTTAACCAGTAATTTAAAAAAGGAAAAAACAATTAAAGACATTTAGATCAAGCAATTTTTATTTAATGTTATTGCTTCTAATGTTATTTCTATGCACATTACCTGTTGGATATGTTATCGCTTCAAAAAAACCGTCGAGGATTTGCGGACCTTTTGGGTAATCAAATTTTTTGAGCATTTTACTTATCTTTTATTTCTGCAAGTTTTTATAAATATTACAATTTTGTCGGACGTTGATTATTTTCAATATTAATTTATAATTTTATGGTATATCAATTAATTTAGAAGTCAAGAACGATTCTACAGTATAATAATCCAATTGCTCGATAGGAATCTTAGCAAAGGTCTTGTGGATGTTATAAAATACATGTCCTCACCTGGTATTGTCATACCTGTTCTTTTACTGCTTTTGCTCATTATTTATTTTTTATTCGCACTAGTGCGTGGTCTTCGAGAAGCCAATGGAGATTTATCGAAGCAACTTGTGCACGTAAGTAAAAAACCATTTTAATGGAAGTATCATTACGCTGTTTCTTACTAATTTTCAAAACAAATTCGTAATTTTCAAGTCAGCATTGCAAAAATCCTACAAAATTCTTAGGTTGAATATCAGTGATTCACTTTAATCATTTTTAATAATTTAAATCATTTTTAACAGAGACATAAGTTGGAGCCCATAAACTCGATTTTTTCAGGAAAGAACAGAAGAAAAGAAAAGGATATTTGAATTAGCTGGTGGCCGGCGAAGACGTAGTACAAATGCTAATTTTTACCGGGAATTCTACAAAAGTGTAAATAATAATAATACAGACAGAACAGGAATCTTGCCAGTAGATAAATTATTTTAATATATATATACTGAAACTATTGAAACTTAAATATTAAATATTGAAGCTTTTGGGCAACGGTGGAAATCTTTCAGTGCATTTATCCCTTCCTTATGAAATGTACTCCTATAATAATCAGCAGAGACTATATCAAATTAGAAATAGTACCATTAGAAGATGGGAAATCGATGATGTTTAAGATTAAAATATGAGAATATATTTGAATATTTGAAAAATTGCAAGTATTTTAATTAGACAGGTAAAATTTAATGTTTTACAATTTAATAGGATGATGACAGATTGTCGAGGCGCAGCAAAGATTTGCATGCTTATGCACCATCTTTAAAGTACGAAACTGATCAGTTTTTTTCTTTTTTTCATAAAAGATCCTAACAATTTCTTTAAAAAATTGATAATTTTCGCATTCGCATTATTATTTATTTTTACAATGAAATGAATCTTACATATCATTTTCAAGTAATCAATCAATTAAGAAGTGTGAGTGAAGCAGATCGATCGGATTCTGAAGATGTTGAAGCAGAATTTAGTGGGTCATTAGCTGCGCCAAGAACCACTTTGAACCAAAAATTCTTGCATTTTTTCAGATTTCTCATTTGCAATAGGTATATCGAAAAAATTAACTAATCTTTCAGTCTCTTCGCTTCTTTTATTTACGTGATATGAGCTAGATATTTAATGAAAAAATTTTCCCTAGGATACTGAGATTGGCTTTCAGCAAAAAAGTAAAGCTGTTTCTGCATAAAGTATCTCTGATGTTGTGCGATCTCGTTTAAATCAATCATTTTCAGACACAAAAAATCGTCATTTTCAACTGATGATGCAAACAAGGCAACACTTTTACATCATGAATCGCTCGAACAAATGGAAAACTTCGAAATTAGTCAGCCTCGCAATTCAACCAGTGGGTCATCTCATAGTCGCCAGAGGTCTATAACCATTATATTTCTTGTTTCATCTTTAAGTCTATCACTTAAGTTAAGTTACTTAAGTTACTTATTGCTGTTTGGAGGTGGTAAACAAAATTCTCAATATTTGGGAAAAAAAGTTTGAAGGATAAATGGTGGTGGGGACTTGAAATACTTTCATTAAAATATTGCATGCTTAAATAAAACTAATATAACTATCAGAAATAAAAATACTCACAAAAATGGTTTTTTTTTTTTTAAACAGCTGGCATTGTTACTGGTTTAATCGACTTAACTAATAAGAAAGATGTCTTTGCCGTATGCCATATCTGAAAGTAATAATAGTAGAAGACTTTTTTTAAGTTCGTTTGTGTTCTTGATTTATTATGGTGGTATTATAGTATATCTTTCCATGACTGCATTTCAAATACGCAAGAAATTGATGAATGCAATATCAGCAAAGCTAATAAGGATAATCTTCCAGAACAAAGGTTCGATTTTCGAAGCATATTCTTTTCACTAAGATTGGTGCACCATGGCTAATTTGAAACAATTTGGTTCTCTCGATTAAAATTCGAACCGGATCTAGAACCTTGAAAATTAAGAACAATAATCAGGTTTAATATGAAAGAATATGAGAAATATGAGCTGGAAATTAATCTATTTTCAATCGCAAAACTTTTTTTAAATCCAATTTATTTTTATTCCATTTCAGTCAATCACAGGATATTGAAGCGGATGTCGGTCCTCAGCCAGAAGCATTGATTCAATGCCGTCTCAAGACTCATAAGACTCAAGCGAGCAGGCAAAAAATAAAAGATTCACCAAGATCCAAATCACCTCAGTGGGACAGCCATCAATATATGAGTTTGTCAGATCCAAGAATCATATATTCTAATCCTTACAGCAGGTAGTCTTTGATTTATTTAATCCTGGAGAAATTTACCTCCTTCTAAACAATGAGTTATAGTTGGTCTCAGTTCACATTTAGTAGATGAATCGTCGTTCAGTGAAACAAATTGTCTTAATCTGAAAGCTCTATCCGAAGGCAATTAATTCAATTCGGCTTCAGTCAAATGCTGTTTTCAGTTATGCAAATGCAATGATGTCTCCCCTTATTGAGCAAGCTTCTTTATTATTACGAAAAGATGACTCGATTATCAAAGAGGCCGAAGGACGAACAGAACGAGCGCATCTCATCAAAAATCAAAATGAGTATGTTAACTTAGTACAAATTTAACGAGCAATGATCCTGACTTAGTTAACAACTGAAAAATCCAGATCACTTGGTCTTTTAATTATTTTTTCGACTCCTCGAGTGATTTACATCAAAATGCTTCAATTGAAAATGAAAAAGATTATATAATGATTAAAAGGATATAAAAACAAACTTAATTTTTAGAATTATTAAAATTTTTAGAAGGCAAAATGAAAATAAATAATTTGAATCTTATAAAGACACTATTTATAATGTTTTGAAGAATGTGAAGTAAAAAAGAAAGTGTTCAGAAATATTCAGAAAAAATTTTTGGCATAATAATTATTTTTATTATTCAAAAATTATTTTATTTTTAGTTCACCGGAATTTGAAAAAAATTGGAAATCGCCAAAAAACCACTCAAAGTCAAAACATAACGATTGTCTTATTTCCAAGCAGGTAAGCTGGTTTGTAGTAAAATAATAAACTTGTTTTTTAATGCCTTATTCGCTTGCTTATATATTGCTTATTTATTTATTTCAACACTAAACAGGGCAAAAACCAAGCAGGGCAAAAAATTATATGCTGGCAAATTTAAAAATATTCGAGGAAAACCCCACAATATCTCATTTATTGTTTAGGTAAAGCCTCCAAGATTCCGAATTGCTTCTCCACAAGCAATAACTTCACCGGTAAGGATTCAAGCAATTTTTATAATGTTTTAGAGTTTTTATTATAAGAAATCTGGTTTTATATACATATCAGAGATATTAGATATCCAGATATCAGAGGTGAAGTGAAAAATTCATTTAATCGACTAATTTTTCCGGTTAATATTCAGGAAGTTAGCGACAGTGACACTCCAACGAGTCAGTTCCTTTTGAACTTGAGCAGTATTCCAGTTAGCGATCTCAGTACAAATCGAAGATTTTTGTTGCACAGTAGTAGTTCAAGTTCACCTACAAATTATATCCGGGATGAATCTAATGCGCGCAAACCTTTAAAAGAACGAGCGTCTTCTAAACGAAAATCTGCTCATAAACATACATTTGTATAGTTTTTATAATAATGGGTTCAGAAATTTTTTAAATAATGTTATACGATAATGTCAAAGCTGTATTATTATTATTATTATTATTATTATTATTATTATTATTATTATTATTATTATTATTATTTTATATAATGATGCAATATATTTGTTATTCTGTTTTTTGCATCTTTCGTCAATCCCATATATTCCTTTTTTCTCAATTATTTTCATGATTTCATTAATGCATCACTGGCGATGAAAGAAGAAATTTTTGTTCATGAATCAATTCAAAGGATTATGACTAGCAGAAGTTAATGTAACTGATAAATGATCGTTAGCACTTACCATTTCTGCTCCATTGCTCGTTAGTTCGACAAGGAATTTTCGCCATAGAGTCATATAATGATAAAAAGACAGGTGGATTTCGAATTTTTTAATGATAGACTTGTGTCAGAGGCGATAGTCGACGTGTGACTTAAAATGCTTGTTAAGATTTGAAAGAAATAATAAAAAAATGAAATTGAATTATAATAATGATAGAATCTGTTGTGAACTTTCAAATTCATTCGCATATATTTAATTGAATTTCAATTTTCAGAGATTAGAAAATCAAGCTTTCTTTCATTTAGAATCTTATGTATGAAACTATGTTGAAAAACTTATTGAATTTATTATGTTGAAAAACCTAAGTTATGTAGCATTTATTCTCGGAGAATTTAGTTCTTCTCTATTTGTTAACAAAGCCACATGACGAAGAGACAATAACTTTATAAGAAGGCTTTTAATGAACTCCATAAATTAAAGGGCTTAGAAAATAAAATCCGACATAAATGTAAAAAGAAATATTCGAATAGCAAGTAGTGTGAGATTGAGTTCATTTATATAGAATAGACTGCAATTATATTTGAAAATAACAGTATTATACAAAGTACCATACTCATGCACTCAAATATAAAGGTGCGAATGATTGAGCTTAAGAATAAAACAAATTAGTAACGATTTGATCTTAAATAGTTGAAATAGCAAAAGTTTTCAATATTATTAAAATTTTTGAAGAAAGGCACATATACATTTGGTTGCAAACGAAATAAAAACAATAATGGATTGCATAAAATTTAAAATTTAGAATAAATCGCAATAAAATAAAACTAAAAGAGAATAAAAATGCGATATCTTATATTTATAAATGCTAATACTAATAATCCAGCCAGTGAAAAATCGAAATTGCGTGCATGGTATGAACTCCAAATAAAAAAACATCAGTTCCGAAAGTACTCTAGTGAATATGAACAAAACCGTAAATTAGTGGGTTACCTAAATACTATATTCTAAATCCTAAATTAGTTGACCATTTAAATTTAAATTAGTTGTCCACTTTTTCACAAAACAATCATTCATCAATCACTATTGGCGAAATTAGAGCTAATAGGTTCCTTCAGCTTTCACTTCAGTCCCATTTACAATCTTTAAAAAAAGCAGAACAATATTTGCTCATATATACGCACCGAACGTATTTAGCACCGCTTGAATAATGAGCGATCGCTTTTCTATTAGCGTTTGATGTAAGACTGCTATACTATAATATTACTTGTAATATTGATATTGATATCGATAATAATATTGAAAACCTAAATTCTCATCTTATTTCTGCAACAATTTTACAAAATTTTTTTTCACCGCTTCATAATATTACTAAGTTATTTTTGCGAAGTTACGAAATTAATTTACGAAGTTATCTTGGCAGGTGTGAACTCATCATTAAAGCAAAGAAGACTAGACACGAACTGGTGTATGAAGAACTTTATTGATGGCCTAATTGATAGTTGGTGTGCATATAAATGCTCAGTGCAAAAAAGGGGTCATATTCAATGTCATGGACATTCGGTATATTATCGTTCTTATTGTTTTTATATTCTCCTACTGCTTAACAATGGACAATGAGATTGTTGGTACTCCAGTGGTGAGTATCGTTTAGTTTCACCTCAGTTTTATTCTATTTCTTTATGATTTTTTACCTGCATATGCTTATGTATCTGTACTTATGTCAAATATCAAAATTTGGTGCGATAAGTTATGAGCTATTAAAAACATAACTGGTTGAATTGTAATTCTTTATGATTTTCAAACTTTTAGGTGGATTGTGAGGACACAGTGGTTTCATTGACATTTAAAACTCGCAAGCCATTCACGGGACGAGTGTTTGTTCGAGGTTTGGCTGATGATGTTCGTTGTTCACGAAATTTTGCCAAAAATATAGATCGGAAGAAATTTTCGTTAATTATCCAGAATGGTGATTGTACTATGCAAAGACAAAGGGTGGCTGGAAAATTGGAAGTATGATTTAAAAAATTTTTTTGAGTTTATGGATAAGTATAATTTTAAATTTTATAGATAGCTATATTTCCAATTACAGAAATTTTTCAATTAATTAATCAAAAATAAATCGTAATTTTAATTAAGCTTTTTCAAAAAATAGTGGAAAGTGCATATTTTACTCAATATTTATGTCGAAAACTAATTAATTATCGTCTAATGTTTATTTATTCAGTAAAATCTACATACTCAAAATTATAACTACCATATTAGAAAATAAATGAAAAATTGAAGGTAATTAAAGAATTACGTGAGGGAATTAGCAGATCGCATAGTAACTTCCGAGCTTTAGACATCTATTTAAAAATATACGTTAGATTCGACATCGAAGTTGATAAGATCTAATTAGATCAGAGTTTTTATTACCTATGAACTAATAAATAAATAAATATGGCAAATTTAGAGGAGATGATTTTGTCAGGGAAAAGCGAGAAAGAGAAAAAAGGAATAAAAGTATAGATAAGTCTCCAGCACCACACGGATTTCTTAGCAGATTTAGCGGATTAATACTAGCAATAATCAGTACTACTCGCCGTCACTTTTTTATTGTCATAATTGTTTTTTTTGCGACCACACCGTTTATTATTATCATTTCAGGGCATTATGTTTTCGTTGACGATTGTTATATCATTCCACAGCACATTTGTTACCAGGACCGATCGAGCCTATAGATGTATGTGTTTCTTTCGAAATATAAAGCATATAACTAGTTCCATTGATATGTCGCCAATCGTCACTACTGAGCTTCTGGACACTGCTAAAATGCCTACATGTACGTATACAATACATTCCAATTCTGCAGATGGTCCGCCAGTCGTGTATGTATATTTTTCTTTCATTATTAAATCTAAGATTATCGAACTTTAAATTCTTCCAATATCTTTAGCAGTAATTTCTATTATCAACATAAAGCTCGTCCAGAAAATTAAAAAACGAGAATATTTCTAGTTTTGGACAAGTAGGCGAAAAAATATACCATGTTTGGAAATGCGATAATGACGAACAAGGATTCCTTGTACATTCGTGTTATGTAAATGATGGCCGGACTGCTCGATTTGATCTAGTTAGTTATTTAAAATTAATTATTTTTAATAAATTAAGGACAATTAATTTGATTAGGTATTCAAATATTCTCCAAATAGTATCACAAAATTCACTGATTGTATCACTATGTCATTTTTTTTCACAAACAGATTTTATCGTAAAATAAATAAGTTGATCACATAATTGTAGGATGTTACAATTATTTCACTCAAGAAACCTAATCTACTTTTTTTCATATTCTATTTCTGGCTGGGCTCGTTCCGCTGGCCATTAAGATGAAGGATCAAAGAGCCACTTGAGGACTGAATCGCAGATAATTTTAAATGATAAAACTCACTGAGGACCGAGATAATTACAAAACCAAGAATAGTTAAATAACATATCACCCTGGCACTTTGGATCTTATCTAGATTTAATGTATTTCTATTTATGTAAAATATAAAATTAATGTGATAAATTTTTGATTTCCAGATTGACTTAAATGGTTGTGCACTTGATACGATCATTCAACCTGATATTCAATATGACGCAAGCTTGACGCGAGTAAAATATAACTTTATTTTTTTAAAACTATTTGTTCTTTTCGAGAACGGATGAAAAATTGCGAATTAAATCACTGCTTTTTAATTTAGGCCGTCGTCGAAACATGGGGTTATAAATTCAGTGATACATCTGTGTTGAACTATCAATGTGTAATTGAACTATGTAAAAAATCTGCCGGTGAATGTGAAGGATTAACACCGCCATTTTGCGGGAGAACGAAACGTGATATTAAGTATTCTTCATTAACTAAATTCCCTTCTTTTTACGATAGGTTAGATTTCGACATTTAGAGCAGTAAAAAGTAACCTGAAAAATTCTTCATTATCCAGTCGAAGTGAAATTGACGTTATCGCCGCTGTTGATATGTTTGACACTATCAATGAAGATAAAATAGCCGATCCACATTCCAAGGATTTCATCAAAAAAATAACCGAAGTATAGTTTAAGTATAATTTCTAATTGAAATATATTTGAAATATATATATATATATATATTAATATAAATATATATTAATATATATATATATATATTAAAATACTAAGCCTTAATTTTTGAAAGTTCTCGAATCGGCTTTGTCATTTTCATCCAAAGAAACTTAATTTAGCCATATTTTCATCCAAGACACGGTATTATGACTGTGACTACTTATCGGGTTTGTTTATCGCATCAGACGTTGAGTTTCTGTTTGGCAGTAATTCTTTTCCTCGCTCTTTCTGGTTTTGCTGCCAAATTATTTAGGCAAACGAGGTATTTTTTAAATATATTCTATCTTATTGAATATCTCAATTGTTGGAGAATTCCAGCTGATATAATTTGGTTGAACCCAGTTCAGCTGTTCAGCTGCAATTAAATAGCTGCACATCTTAATATGGAGGTATAATACTATTAAAACAGCTTGCTTAAAACAACTTGTCAATTATGCTTCATCTTCATTTTCTCAATATTTATTACGGTTCTTTATCTGCATTCACAGAAAAATTGATTTTATTTTCAATATTATAGATAATATTTATTTTTCGATAAAAATCATTGAATAAATGATGAGAAAGCGTGGGAATTAAAAAAAAATTTTCTTCAAAAATTTTACTTTAATTGATTTTATTTTCTTTATTTTTATTAAAAAATTTTCAGGAAACACGAGAAATATTAATAATAGTGCTAAAGCCAAGCACAATTTAAAAATGAATGGCACGATTTTCATTTGGTTGTGATGTTATCATTTATTAATCTGCAGCAGAGATTTAATAAACTATTTCGGGCAAATAACGAGGATTTCGTTCTTATTTACCGTTTTACATTGATTTATTAGTTGAATATATCACTCATTTTGTCGTGATAATTTCCAGCAAAACCTTTATTTTTATTTTTGGAACCTTTATTTTTGACTTTCCCTCTTTTCTTATTCGCCTGTCTCCGTATACTCCCTCCGTATCAATCCGTGAAATCTTATCTCTTCTTTATTTGTAAATAATAAATAAACCCATGCGGTTTTGCATAGTAAAAATTACCGATATTCTCAATTTTTCGTTGGTGAGAAAATTTATTGATGAGAAAAGATAATTTGTTACGTTATTGTTTAATATTTATATTTTTCATTATTATATAAACACACAATCATCCAGAATTTGTCTCTGAAGGACGGCTTTTATTAGAAATAAACTTCGAAGCCTGGCAAATTTCCTCTGTTAAAATTTGTCTTTTTTCGTAATTAAATGATTCAATTGTTGATAAAAATTGGAAACATGGAAAATGTAACTGATTATTGTCATTAAGAAATCGGGATGGTCCTAAGTCTAAGGATCACCTTTATTTCTTACGATCCCCTGCCAAATTTATGCCATATAGCCAGTGGAACGAGGATAGCCAGAAATAATGCATATTGGCCACTTATTCGCCACTTATTCATTTTCATTTTCGGCGAAAATTCCGTTGGTTAAGTAAACGGAAAAGATTTAAATTTAATCGACAATTTTTTAGTTGAGAATATTTCACAATGTTTAACAGAAAATTCTCGCGGAAAGCATAATTTTATTTCTTGGTTTACAGTTTAATGTTTCTTTCGTTCTTCTAGTTCGCGTATTGTTAAAAGTTCTTTCTTCCATCTCAAAAAGAGCATTTCTAGCTTCAGGCCAGCTGTTCGTGCCCTAGAAACAACTGTTGTTCTTTTAAATGGATAAAAGGATGAATTCACGTTTATTCTTACCATCAGTCGATATTGATATGGAGATGCTGCATGGAAAAATAGTATTCGAGCCAAGTTTGGATCATTTAGTACATATTTTGTAATATTCGGTTTGACACCGATCATTTTCGCCAGCTCATCCATGTATTCGATATAATATACCTGAATGCGTGAATGATAAAGAATATACATAGATAATATAAGCGAGATATTTTAAATGTCGAAAAGTCTTCAACAAATTAAGCAAATTGGTTAGCTCTTACCATTTCCAGTTGGCTCCGTTTGACTATTACGACTAAAAATTTGTGACTTGGAGTCAGAAGGCTGAAGCATTAATAGCTAGCACCATCCGAAATTTTTACTCTTACGGGAGTAGGAATCGAATTCTTGTTTTTCAACAATCTGAATCTGAATCACTGCATCTTTAAAACATCTTTAAAGTACCTGAATTGTATGTCTTCTACGATCAAGGAATTCTTTGCTGAGAATTTTCCTTTTTTTATTTATATCTTCATTCATTTTTCCATAATCAGGCAGTTTCACTCGACCATTAAGCACTTCGCAGAAAACTCGACATTGCATCTCAGAGATCGGTATTATTGATCCTAACGGTTGTATAAGGCCAATTATTGCAAAAGTGTTCTGCAAATTAAAGATAAAATTTTTTTTGTACCAAGAAATGCCCAGCTTTCAATCAGAAAGTTTTTTTTCAATCTTGTTTATCATCATTTTTTAAAAATTATTATCATTCAAGTTCTATTTTAAAAAAATCTAGCGTTGTTTTTTATGCAAACTCTCTTTTGGCTAAAAAAGTGCCTCACTCCAAATTCAAAACTCCACGAACCCAACCTCTGAACTCAGATATTTGACTAGCGAGTTTCCAGAACGGTATTATTTTCTAGAACAAAAGCTGATTCAATATTAATTCAGTTAATTCAGTTAAATGTAGGTTTCTGTTCTGAAGTCCTGGATATTAATTTATAATTTAGTTGTGTTTACCTTTTCTTTATCTTTATCTTTATTTATCTTCTTTATCTTTATCTTTATTTCTTTATCTTTATTTGGCTTTATCGTTTTTCGATCAAACTATACAACAAAAATTTAAGTATATATACCTTTGGTGAAAGCTGGGGCGGAAACATATATTTATACAAGTTAATTTTATTTTCTTCTACTGGAATTAATTTCCCACTTTCAACGATCGGAAAGCTGAAAGAATAGCCCGTAGCAAATATTAAGACATCAACATCTTCCACCACTGTATCGTCGTCGAAGATTACATCATTTTTCGTTATATGCGAAATGTTTGACTTAATCTAAAATTACGCTAAATATATTTAATTTGATCAACAAAATGACAAAATGTTCTGAAAATTAAGAGAGGGTTAATTTGCGAAAAATAATCCCTTAAACCTTAAGAACGCTAAGAATTATCTGATTTACAATCACTGCAAAAAAGTAAGTTTCTGAAGTCCTGGATATTAATTTACAACTTAATTATTCATCTTTGCTTATTTTGCACAGAAATATGCTCCGCAAACATATTTCTTTAAGGATAATAGAATGGTTGTTGCCCAGATTATTGCTTTCAGCATCAGAATTTGTGCGTTGACTATGGCATAAGTGAACTTTTGATTAGAGTGGAGGCGAGAATCACTCCATACTCCTATCCTCAAATGCAAATTTTCAATTTTCCCAATATTCAGAGGAATGAGCGTAATGAGAAAAGGTGTGCGCTATAACAACTTATTTTTCTAACCTATTCGTTCCTTCATTTTTAAATAATTTTGGTTTTAAACCTAAATGTATTTAGAGATCCATTTTTTCAAACGCCAATTACTGAGGTCCTAAAAAATTTGGTTTTCTTTTTTATCAAGTACATTATTACCTCTATGCTCCCGGATGCAATACGATTTGGTAATTCATCATTTATTGTAAAATGCGCTGCAAGAACACAGTGTCCCGGTTTCAAGCCGAAACGACCATGATCAACGCGTCTGTTTAATTTATTTTCCAGCAAGCTATTTATTAACTAAAAACTCTTTATATGACGATAAAAATTTCGTCCATTAAATTAACCGGTATTATTCTATTTTTTCCTTTTTTTTTTAAAACATGTTTCTTTGAATCTCAAAGCTCTAAATCATTGTAACTTTTTTTCGATTTGTTTTAACTATTCTGTGATATTTCACGGCAAACAAACCAAAATTGATAGATTTTTGATTATTAAAAACCTACACGATATGGCAATAATCTTTTTAAAAAGAGGATAAATCTGCTTTGAAGAACAGTATCGAAAGGCACACCGTAATCCCAAGTTCGATTGATCAACCATGTTCCACTTCTTGTCGATAAATGCACCTTAAATTATTATGATTTTACCTGACTTCTAATTATTATGATTTTACCTGACTTGATTTTACAAAAAATCAAAAATCAAAAGTGCAAAAAATTTTTCGAGCTTTATTCCAGCCAAAAAGAGGCCAAAACACTGATAGGCACTAACTGGCTTGAAGAACGACTATATAAAGTATTCATAGCTTACTTTTTTTGCGGTCTTGCTAAGATCAACAGCAACATCGCTTCCGGAATTACCTATCCCAACAACCACCACTCTTTTTTCTTCCATACCGGTCGGGTCTTTGTAATCATGGCTATGTAATATTTTTCCTTTGAAAGTGCCTTGGCCAGGGAAAGGAGGTGGAAAATATGGTTCGGTGTGATGACCAGTGCACAGCATAATTCCATCAAACGTCTCACGCATTATATTTTTTTCGCTAAAAAAATAAAAATTTTAATGAAATTAGATTTATAAACATACTAGTTTGAAAGGATTCATTACAAGCATTTCCACTTCTAAAGTGAAGATATTCATTGAAAAAAAATATAAGGCATAATCTACATTAAATAGACTACAGAAATCAATATTCACACAAGGTAATAAAGTCCGAAGGTGACCACGATCATGATTTCATTACTCAGTGGCCCTTGTTGGAAAGTTTACTTCTTTTTTTCAGAAAAAAAATGATGGATATTTGGAATTCTAGGTCTTGTTGTGGTAACATCCTTTTCCAATTTCTTTAGATTTATATTTTTGTTATTATTTTGTATTATTATGCCAAAATAAAGATTTATATAGAATTATGCAAAAGTATAATAGAATGGATAGCAGAACCTAGGTCATCATTCCTGAACATTTTAGAAGTAATGAGATATAATGATAAAGTTGAAGGAAAAAGAATGGACCAGACAGTGCTGAAAAACTACTTCTATATCCAAGTGATTTTACAACAAAAGCATCTCATTTTATTAATCAGTGTAGCCTACCGAAGCAGAAATAATGAGTGCTATTATAAGAAGAAAATTACGATAACGATCAATTAGATCATCAATATGAAAAGAGATCTTATCAATGAAAAGTTTTTTAATTTAATTTTTTGTTTTCTTGGCTTTTCTTAATATATTTATTTTTTTCCGTTATTTCGCAATTATCGCAGTGAAAAATTTGCTGAAAAATCTAGAAATTCTCGAAAAGAAATATAATAGTCGTCTCGATATTTTTTATTTGTAAATTTAATTTGGCTGAATTTGAAAATTTTTTTTCGCGTTTTCTTTTCCTTTCAAAATAAGAAATAAAATAAAATAGCTAAAATAAATAAAATTGTTAGGAAATGCTTTAAATAATAAATTTATGTAATATTATGAAATCAGTGTAATGATTATTGAGTAAAATGAATTTTGATGAGATGTAAAGGGGTGACATGCTGAAGCTAACTGATAATTGAGATATAATTTTTTTCAAAGAGTTCTCACCGTTACGGGTTAAACTCGCTCGCTCCACTGGCTTGTTACACTAGAAAAACATGCCAGGGAGTCCGCTTGGCAGCAGAGGTACAGGTGAGCCAGCATTACCGTGATTTCTGGACAGATTTTCTCCAATGAGGAGTAGAACCTCAGCATCGGCGTTCTGAGTTGAGCGACAACCCACTGAGCCATTCTACTCCGATTGAGATTTAATAGCTTAGAATATCATCGTCTCAAATTGCGAGTAAACCTGTTATTAAAAACATCAGAGGAAACAGAGCCTAATCAGAAATAGCGAGCACTCTTTTAATCTTCTCTTTCAATTCTTAAAAAACACCTAGCCATCAGATTCGTGTATGTAACAGTCCATTGCCCGTTTTCTTCGTATTTTTCACTTCGCTCAATAGATATCACCTGATGATTGAACTTGATATATTGTAGAAGAGCGAAGTGCTTTGCATAAGATCTGAAAATATGAGTACACCGTACTCATTTGGCAAAAAAAGTCTTCAGTGCTACAATGAGGAGAAAGAATTAGCACCGTAAAACATCCAATGATTGGCATAATTAAACATCCACTTACCTGTATACTTTTCCGAAACATGAACAAAGTTGTTTTACCTCAAATATTCTAAAAGTTGAGAATGGTGCATAAAGTTGGCAGCTTCTTTAGGAGGAGGAAAATCGCTATAAGCGGTCATTTCTTTAGACGTGTTAATTACAGTGTTTTTCATCACCGATCCTTTGCCTCAATTTCATTCGTATCATTCGGCAATTTTATTAATTTTATTTATGGATGTAATTTGCATTTGGTTTTGAATTTAGCGTAAGCGAAGAAAAATATAAATAGCTTTTAAAGCAGCGTTTCTTCATTAATTATGAGCAAAATTTTGAAAAAAAATCTGACCGACTTCTGAGTTATTCTTAAATCGCCATAAACCACCCAAATCATCATCTTTCTCCAAACATACCACCTGGAAATCGTTTTCTAAACAAGTTTTAATAGCAGTTAAACCGCTAGCACCAGCACCAACCACACCGATCCGCATTCTTTTCGATTCTGAAATAAATGCAAATAATTAAAGGCGGAGCACAGCCATTTAAAAACTGTAATCGTACCACAAATGTCTAAAGGTTGATTCATGAACATTTTCTAATCATCGTATTTTACAGTCTTTTCCGTTGCTTATTTCAGGTTATACAATATTATTTCCATTTTTTATATATTAAATCGAAGAAACTTTCAAACATCACATGGAGCGGGTTAGTTATTCTTTTTCTTTCCATGTCAATTATGATATTCATATATGATATATTATGCATTTAAAAAATTCGGAGAAAAGCAGGCTTTGCAGGCAAAAAATCCCGTCTTTATCTTTATTTGCTCAGTTTTTAACAAATACCTTGTTTGGATGGGAATCAGATCCAACTGCTCTAAAGTTGCGATGCAAAATATTTTTATTTAGCGATTCATTTTTTACTCTGTCGTGAAAAAATGCTGCTATAATAAATGATTTCGATACTATCTCATAAATTTTCATATTTTTCTTGATATTTATAGCATTACTGATAAGGGACGTAGTTGTTTTTTAACTCTTGCTTAAGCAAAAAGTAGCAAAATCCTATCTAAAGTAACGTTTAGCAATCAGAAAATGCGTTTAAAAAATTTTAGCATTACTACTATCCACTTGTACTTTTTCGGCTTGTAAAATGTTTGTTAATTGTTAATTATTTTGGATTACCAATTCACATCGTTTCATTTGAATTATATACTAATCTAAGGAATAAATTGTCCGAAGAATAAGTGATTGTCATTTTCAACTCATGATTCGGCTTCTATTCCAGCCAGGAAATGAATCTACCAATAAAAGTAGGGATGGTGCTAAAAAAATACTTGTAATTCTCAAGCCACTCGTTGACAAAATTTTTTCATGCTTCTAATAGCCAGAGAAGGAAAGCCAAACTAGTTATGATGAGAGCTAACCTTGCGCACTGAACTGCCATATCTAACGGTCGTAACGAGTTTAATTCAGGAAAAAGCTATGGCTTAGATTCTATGGCTGTATGGAAACCAACAAATTTAACAGATTCCGGAATCTAGTTTAATAGGAGACAATGATCAAATCGTTCCATTTCAATTCGAATTTGATGAAAAACAATCTATTTTTATCGCTAGTTTTCATCACTAAATCAATTTAATTCTGAAAAAAGCGTTTTAGAGAAAAATCAAAAATTTCGCAACAGAAAATAAGTTCGATTTTGCAGGAAAGAAATAAAATATTTCCTTTCTTCTTTAAATCCTCATTTCTTGATAATTCAAATTTGAATGAAACACCATATTGAAGTACTTCGATATTACTTATCTGATTATTTTTACTAGTCACATAAAAAATTGGAAAAAAAATTTAAAAATTCGACCGTCGTTCACTTGTCTTAGGCATATTATTAACGTTGAGACTGAACGCCATTTCGAGAAACGCCCTTGACGGAGGATCATTTTCATTCTCCTTCTCCTGCTAGCGAATCAAAAATTGGCCATCTATATATATGTTATCGAGTTTCATAGGCAGCATTTTATCTCATATTCAAACTTCGATTCTTCTTGGCAACAAATTTTTCCACTAATAAAAAAAAAGAAGTGAAAGCAATAATAACGATTTTTCCGCATTTGACGACATGTTCGGTTTCGCTTGGTTGAGGTCGAAAGGCCAAATATCATATTTGATCTGAGGGCCCTTTCATTGCACCCCGGTTTTTTATGAAGTGATGCTTAAGCCACCAGCGTCTTTATTAAGCAGTAAAAATTGGAACATTACTAAAATTTTATATATATGAAATGTGAACCAAATATAAAAGAACTTTGATGGCTTCGTTGCTCATAAATAAAACAATTAAAACTGGAGAAATTAAAATATAAACAAGCTTCCCAAATTATTGACCATAATTTCGTCTTCTAGTAGTTCTAATAGCACTTACCATTTCTGTTTTGGTTGGGTCAAATAGGATAAAATGAATAAAATGAGATCTAATCTCATTGGGAGTTAGGAGAAGAGTTGAGTCTCTAGCAACAGCCGGCATGAGCTTAAAACCAATACAACCAATTCAAATGCAGCACTTAGATTCTTAAACATCGATTTTTGCACCTAGCAAACCTTGGATATTTTACTGTTGTTATATTTATATTTCCTCAACCAGAAGCCAGTGATTAGGCTAAACAGAAAACCACGAGTCTCACTGGCTTGAAGGTGTCAATAAGAATTAAATTCTCGTAGAAGCTTTGGACTTATTCCAAGTGAATAGTCCAGAATAGCCCAATTGTTGTTGTTTATCGTCCCAATCAGCAATGGTTGCCATTGACAAGAAAATTGTCGAGGACCATCGAACGCAAAATCCACTTTTGAGGCCTACACGCCTTTCGTTGAATTGAGAATTTGTAATCAAGTTTTTGATTTTTGATTTGATTTATAGCTTTTGCACTGGCAATTCGGTAACGCCTATTATTATGTCTAACTCGTGTGGAGTTCATTTATCAGTTCTAAATAATCCACTGGCGTTCTCATCATAAAAACCAGTGGAACTAACTAGAAATGTTGCGGAACCACTTACCTACTTACAAATGAATGCTTAATGAATTCTTTAATGCTTCATAGCAGCGAAACAAACAATGATAAGTACTGTTTGGAGACGATAACTAGAGAAACAAAAATTAACTTGTTCAGCTGAATTTTCTGAAAATTATTAGAATTGGACTGGTAAATAAATCAAAACTTTTGACAAAAACCTTTCACACTGTTGATAACTCTTACCCAAATTGTCTGTTGAGAAAGAATCTAGTTTTCTCCGAGTGCTAATAAACAAAGATGCAGAGAGAATAACTGAGTGGTGCCGATGACCCTCCTGTGCTCCAACCGCCAAGTGATTCAGTGGTGAAAAATTTTTAGCCATACTAACGGCTAAAGGGGGATGGGAGCGTGAGGACAAATGATGAGCGCTGCGTGCTTTTTACTTTTCAGAAAAAATCAAGGAAATTTCACTTGGATTTATCGAAACAACTGTTGTACATATTCACATATAATAAATGACACGTGAAATTATTAATTACAATAATGGAACATACAAAAAGAAAAATTTTTCCGATTTACATTTAGCCTTCGAATAAAATAAATAAAACAGCTGGTTATATCCAAGGAACCACTTTTTTCATTTAAAACTATTAGTGTTCTACCAAGCAACTAAGCATTTTTCCATAAGGAATGTTTTATTGATCAAAAATCACTGCATCGAACGAGAATGGAAGGAAAACTGGTGATTTTTTGTAAAAATAAAAAGGAAAACATAACCGCAATATTAAAAAATAAGATCGTCCTTCACCTACGCTGTTCGCCGCCCATCGTAGGGATTTACGCATATTTTGCCAGTTGCTAAAGGTCTCTGATGGATACCAAAGGACGACGGGATCATCTAAAATCTGGACTGACGCATCCAAGAGGTGGATGGATGATGGGAAAAAGTGGTTTCTATCATTCCTAGACATGGCACCGCACCGAACGGCTTGGAAGTGTCTTGTCTTTCTAATCGGTGGAGCCACAGTGTAACCAATAATAGTGGGCGTTATTAGAGAGAAAAGGCATGAAAACCACTTCTTCATTAAAATTAAAAAAATCAAAATAAATTAAAAAAATGAACCAACAAAAATGGAAAAAACTATAAAACAATTGTTGGAAGAACAATAATTTCTGCAAAATTTCTTTGAAAAAATAAGTTAATTTTCAGTTGTAAGACACTGCGTTATAAATAGTTTCAAAGGATGGAAAATATTGGGAATAAAACTGGACAGATCACCTCGTGTTTCTGCCCTCTCACCGAATTAAAAGAATATTATAACAATTTTTTACTAATGGGCCATTCTAAGCATTGAAAGATAACAGTTGCTTGTTTTCCTTATCATTTAGCTAAATTTCAAGAATTATTCAAATGCATTAATTTCGATTTTTTGAAACTCTACAATCCTACAACTGTCATATTCCTGTAACACTCGCTGAAATCTATAATGCTCTATAAATCTATAATCCTCCTATTCCTATAATGCTTAAACTTACTTACTTAAACTTCTTACTTAAACTTCTATCGCTGATTTTTAGAAACTTTTAACGGCATTAATAATCAGTAGAGAATCTAACTAGGAATGGTGAGCGTTAATTATTTATTTACATTATAAACGATTGATTTTTTTTCCTGAGCTAATCGAAACTCGGAAATAAAAGGATAAAAAACTTAAAATCTCTGAAGATTACATCTTCAAAGCAAATTTTTCCACAAGTAATTTCAATTAATTGGCATATAATTAATTTCAACGACGTTCTCATTAAAATAAATCTCATCACATATAAGAAATTACAACTGAAAGATTAACCAAATACAACAATCGGCTTTAAAAGTGAATATCTTTATTTCCGAATATTTTTAGATTCTCTTGACTACTGCCAAGTCGTTCAAAAAATCTGGACCTTGTCGCTATTTTTTCATGCCATTTATTCGCCGCCCATCGTAGGGATTTACGCATATTTTGCCAGTTGCTAAAGGTCTTCGTCAGTATCTGATAATTTTTGTTAACCAAAGGTTTCTCACAAATGCTATTAAAATTACTTAATCAAGTTGATTAAATCTTATAAAAATATCAATTTTAACCAAAAAAAATCTTTAAAAACAGAAAAAATATCGCTTAGATGGTTTATACAATCTTTGGATTTATGTATTTATGAATTATATATAAGGTCACTGAATGAAATAAGTTGAATTTATGGCATATTTATTTATACATCGTGAGATTCTAAATCGTCGCTCGACACATCACTTTGGCAACGTTTTCTGGTCGACTTTCTTTTTTTTTCGCCATCTCTTCTTTTCTGACAGAAAATCTGAAGAAAAAAAGCACACAATTTTGAAAATATTAAAAAATTTTCAAAAAGCCAGAAAAATAATATTCACTATCTAATTGAAGTTCAATTTTTTTTATATATGATTAAAAACATAGTCTTTCCAGTTTAATCCAATATATAAATACCAACGAAGCACCAATCCATTAATATTTCATAATCATAAATTTAAATTTTCGAAAATTCAAGAGAAAATTCAAAAAATTGTGTCAAAATGAATTTAAATTAACTCAAAATTAATTTAATAACAAACAATAATGTTTCTTAAAATAACTGGAATACAATGGAACGAAACTACTTTTTTGTTCAAACAGCAACAAACTTATCTCGAAAAACTATACATCTGAGATGGCTTTGATTTCAAATCATTTGGTATCATAAATTAGCGAAGAAAAATTTGATGAAAATTTATCAAAATTACAGTAAGAAGTGCCATGCATTAATAAACTAGGATAGGAAATGAAAGAAAAGCTTAATATGCTCAAATTATAACGGTCTTTCACTCCGTAGCTTAATTAATATATAATTTAAAATGTCTCTAACAGCCATTTTATTCAAATAATATAATAATCCTACACGTCAAAGTATAAATTATTAACCCAACAAAAATCGCATTGTTCCGCAGATCTCTTAAAATTAAATTCCAAGATGGCTGTGCCATAGTTAAATGATTTTAAAGATTTCTATCTAGGGCAAATATATTCCAAATATTCCAAATATTTTCCTCCTATTTCAACAATTGATCTTAGAAGATTAACGTCTCCGAAATTTCGTCATAGAGTCGATAGAAACACGATACGCTTGTAGATTTACTTTATAACTATTCAAAATAATTTACAGAATAATTTCTGAGCCAAAAATTTGCGTTCGATCTTATCTAGTAAAGAATAATTAAAGAAATAATTTTCTATTTCCTCAGCCATTTTTCAACAAACAAATTAAATGATTTTACCTTTAACTTTTTAATTTTCTTTAATTTATAAAATAAAATGGATAAAAATAATAAAAGAAAGGAGTCGAGTTCCACTGCGAATAAAATATTTCTTAGAATAGTCACTTTCCTCACCTAAAAACATTTCACTACGTAACAAAAAAATACCAAAAAATTTGCAACCTTAAAAGGAAAAAAAATCAGCGTAAAAAAGAAATTTTATAAAAAAATAATTAAAAAAGTAAAAATTAAGCACTCGCGATAAAATTCTGCAACCAGCTTTCAATAAAAGAAATTTTAAAAAAAGTGTCATTAATGTAATTAAAACATAAGATCAAAATTTTTAGGGAAAAAAAGCAATATCAAAATGACCTGTCCACCATTATTAAACTGGGAACGAATACCAAGTAACAGTGCATGTTCATCATGACCATTTTCGAGAAACGTTCCTCCTCCTCTTCCTCCTCCTCCTACTCCTCCTCGTTCCTCATTTATCGTTCTTTCATCCACGTTAACGATCGACAATCCTCTAAAAAACGAGCTGTTTTTTACCAAAAAAAACCATCTTCTAAAACTAAAAAAAAAGTAGCAAATGTTATTCGCCAGCTGAAATTAATTTCTCCAAAATATAAAGTTAAATAGCGATTAGTTCGCAAATTCCATGCAAGATTTTTTATAAGTGAATTGAAATGCTTTCAAAAAAATGTTAATTTTGCAAAAAATTGAAGCATTTTAAAAAACTACAAAAGTATAAAGAAAATACAAAGAATATTTAAAAATCACTATGAAATAATTGTTAACACAAGGTGAAAGGGAGGATCAGTAAAATCTCTTGTGAAAAAAAATTTCATTTCAAAACCCATCGATTAATGCAAAATTATTCTTACTAATTGAAGAAAAAAATCGAATTACCCAAGAAAAAATGCTTTAAAATTAAAATTAAAAGAGAAACATTAAAAGAATAAAAACTCAAGCAAAGTATAACTGAAAGTATCAAGAAACAACAAATTTAATTTGATTAAAGCAATTTCAGATGGACAAAAAAAGATTGAAATTATCAAATAGGCTTCGAAATTATTAACACAGTCAAATGAATGAAAATTATAGAAAGTAACAAATTTTATAATTAACAAAAAATAATATAAAAAAGCTAAAAAAATAATTTTAGATGCATCGTTTTCCACTCACCGCAAATGAATTCGTTTTTCAACATCGCGAAGAATTTTTGAAACAAACGTAAGCTGAAAGTCGTCTTTTTCTAGTCGAAAATAATCGTATTTCTAGTCGAAAAAAATTATGTAAAATAGCAAAAAAATTGAAATAATCGAGAATTACAAAAGACAAATATATTGTTACAGAATTCTCGAAACAATATACTTTAATAACCAATTGGACGTTTAAAGTTAGAATTTTCCTCATCCTTTAGATCATTCCACAAATGCAAAAGCAAGCCAGTAACTAAAAAAGAAAAGAAAAAATTAAATGAAAATTTCCAAACCTAAAGATTGAGGCAATTACCATAAATTTAAGAAAGGAAAAAATAAATAAATTAAACCAAAGAAAAGACTACTTTGGATAAAATAATATGTATTTCATAAGGAAAATGAAATTAAAATTAAAGAAAAACAGACAAAGAAGAAGAAAAGCCAACTAGGCCATCAATTCGAATCAACTTCCTTATAGCATATTATAATCTAATTTTAACAGAATATTTATATATCATGGCGGAATGGAAGCAAAAGAACCATGCAATTTAACATATTTACTTCTAATTAACAACTTTAATTTTAAATAATAATTTTAGAAGTATGTTTTTCGCTCAATTTAGGAAAAAGAAGAAAAGAATCACCGAACGCTCTAAGAGTAGCAATTTTTAATTAATTAAACTAGTATAGTTCTAAAAAAAATTTGAAAATTCACATGAGCCACATAAATCACAAATAGCCATGGAAAAAAAAAACAACGACAACAAAATAATTTATCTGTTTATATGTTATTAATCAGATGAATTGCAATAAAATATGAAATTATCTCGAATTTTCTCTGATCAAAATGTTTCAAATTAGGAATTTGAAATTTTTTCTACTAAATCAATAGCATAGACCAAAAAAAATTATAAAAGTGAAATTCTTATTTCTAAACGGAAAAGCAAGTGTATTTCAATAGAAAAAAAAATAACATTAGGATATAACATTTCTTCGAAAGGCCAATCCACCCTTGAAATTATAGAAATGAGGACTTTGGCCTGGAAATTAAAACTTAGAAAAAAATATATAAATCCAATCCAATAAGAAATCTAACTTAAGAGATTTATCTCTGGAACAGTTTTTTAAGATTAAAAAATTCTGAAAATACGTGAAAACAAGATCTAATATTAAAAAAAACCCAATCTTCCAATAAAACCATAAAACCATGCTCAAAAATTTTCACGAAATTAAAGATATGCATAAGAATAAATTTTAGTGGAAAAAGAAGATGAAAGGGCAAACAGAATGGAAATATGGAGAGAAAAGTTAAAATTTTTTTCTTCAAACGAAATAAGATCCATTTTTTTGCAGATGTTTAAAATCTAATGAAGAATTGCATTCATAAGAAAGATACTGGAAAATTATCAAAATCATTTCATGCTTAAAAATCAATCGATTGATAAGAATTCAAATCACTGCAACTATTCATGCAACTTTTTTTCCCTTCTTCCATTTGCATTTCTTCGTCAATGTTTAATGGTTCTATATTGGCCAAAGTAAATCTATGAGTAATTTTATTTGGAAACCTGCTTCCTTTGGAGATCAAAGTTGATTTATAGGCGAGAAGATATGTCTGGGCGGTGATCTCCAAATAAGTGCAATCGTCACGAACAACTGCCGAAAAATCTGGGACAAAAGTTGGCTTTTTCAATGTTTCCAACATTTGCGTGGTTGCTATTGAATTGCCTGATTGTGACACTGGCGTTTGCATAACAGCGCTGCCAATAATGCCACTAGCACCACCACTACCGCCACTAACTTGCGGTTGTTGCTGATTCTGCAACTGCTGCTGGGCTAGAGCAATTCGTTCTAACAGTTGACCACCAAAACAATGCCATGGACCAGCTTCGAATGTCATCTCATTCTAAAATGAAATTATAAAATAAAAAAGAGATTTAATAAACTAGCAAATACTAATAAATTTCTTTATTTTGTAAAAAAATTTGCGAGAAATACCTGCCCAATCGTAACCATCGCTCGACCTTCTAGAATTAAAACAAATTTCTCCGACGGTTCCTGTTTTGTATACAGTTTTGCTGTTCGAGGGATAACTGTTTTTGGATCATTCATGTCAGGCAGATGAGTAAGTTCGACCTACAACAAATCAATAACAAAATGAAATAAAAGTAACTTAATTCTAGAAAAACAACCCACTGCAACTGAAAAAAAGAAGAAAATAAAATGCCTGATCAGTCAGTTGTGACTGCAACAACAAAATCAAGATAAAATCGCAGTCCTCACTAAAAGCAATATAAATAGGATAAAGTAGGTCAGCCATTATCCAGCCTTATTCTGAATCGAAAACAACCCTGAAAGTAATAAGAAAAAGAGAGCTAACCCTCTTAACATGTTGCTTGATAAGTTTTTCCAACACATTAGGTGAAATGAGATCAGGATGAAAGGCTAAATGATTTGTGGTCAACCACTGCATTGTAACGAGCTCCATTTGAACCGATATCACCCTCGAAGGACCATCCTGCTCCAGTATACATGCCGTTAAATCACGTGCCTGGAACTTTACATAATCACATTTTTTATAACTCTTTCATCCTTATTAATTTTCATTGAATTTAACAATTTATGCTTTAAGAAGCAAAATTAGACTTTATTACGCAAAATAAGGCGAATGAATTTCTTCGGAAAATTCCCATAATTTGCAAATTTCAGAAATTGCAGAAATCATAATTGTTTAAACAAAAGAAGAAAAAATGCGAAAGAAACTTTCCTCAATAAGACAAAATTTTTTAAAGGGAATAAAAGCGAACTTCTCAAATATAAAAATCGACTTAAGGCTTTTCTTACTTGAAAGAGAAAGCGGCACTTCAACCAATTTAATCAGTCAATGAATATTTATTCGAAACATTGAAAACAGATAACAGCAGTAAACAAAAAATAATTTACAGAATTCCATTAATCCTCAATCTTATCACGATTGATAATACGAAACAAGCCACTACAATCAGATCAATAAAATTATACTAAGCCTATTTTGAGCAGCACTTGTTCGATAAAAATTTGGTTTCAAAGTAGACCTATAGCCAGAATTGTTTTAGAGAACATCTTTGTGAGTTATGAGGTACTTTCATCGAATAATGCTTAACTAAATCGCGATGAACGAATTGGAATAAGACGTGATATCGATACTGATGAATGTAATTAAATAGTAATAGCGCAAAACCCTCTTTTTTAAGAATTTCTATCACCAAAATATTAGAGGAACTGAAACGATGGCAAAAATTATTTATGCTTGAAACTATATCGAAGAACTGAAAAAAAATTCGAAATGCAAATGTTTCAGCAATAAATAAACCGAAAATGCGAAAAAGTTGGAAAACCTTGTCTGATAAAACTAAGAAATTAAAAAATTTAAAAAGCCTTCATAAAATACTCATCTGGAATCTTAAAAACTTAAAACGCCAAAAAATTAATTTATGTTAATCTCTTTCAATTTGTTCTTATTTTTGGCTGCTAGAATTTTTACCGAGAAGTCGCCATCTAGCGATAAAAATATAAATGGGCCGTCATCATCCCGATAATTTTTTAATATCAGATTTACTCCTGCAATTCCCTTGTTTCCTAATAATAATCTTCAGTCTCAATCGTTATCCACTTTCCTCCAATGATGGATTTATGACTGCTGATAATTGACCAGCTAATCAAATAAATAGTGGAAAAATTATAAATATTAAGAAGCAAAAAAGATTGAAAATAAAATAAACCACAGCTAAATTCAAAATATTCCAATATTAAAATACAAAAATAATAAAAGATATAAAAATAAAAGTGAATTACAGAATTATAGAAACTTGTAAACTAAAATGATAACTAAAGTGATAAAGTAAAGTGACATTGCGATTATATAGTATAAAATTGAACCAAATTTTTAATTTTTAGAAAAATTTTTAATTAAACAAAGAAAAAAAACGAAACAGAAGTGCTTTTAGCGAACATTGGATCACCATTAAAAATTAAGTATTCTTGAGAAATATAAGAGATAAAAGTTGAATTTTAAATCAGCTTTTACGCTTAATTTCCTTAAACGACATGAAAACGCGTATAACTGATTATTTCGCGAAATAACCACCGAGCAAATTTCTCTTCTTCTATTAATTACAGTAAATGTTGAAAAGTGGAAAAATAATAAAAGTGCTAAATAATGAACCAGAAAAAGTACGAATGCTAACTTAATTTTCGATATATTCACTTTTATTCTCCATTATTTTAATTTACTAGCTAAGTCCGTTATAGTCCGTTCAAAAAACTCAGTTATAATTTCGAAAAAATTCAGTCCAAAAAATTCCAAAAAACTCAGTTATAATACCGATGATTTCATTTTCAAATTGCTATTTATGAGACTCTAAAGCTAATATTCAAAAACAGCGCACAAGATCAACCATTACAAAAATAAAATCTAAAAATTCCCACAATTTCATTAAGCGACTGAATAAATCCATTGCAAAAATTCAAAAAAATATTTATCAAATGAATGAAAAATTTTGAAATGAAAGTGTGAAAAAAAAGTAAAATTAAAGTAAACGAGTAAAGAAAGTAACGAATAACTACACGAAAAAAATACAAACACAAAAATAAAAAACTAAAACCATTCAATTTAATGCATATGCAATTAAATTTTGAGAAAAATACACAAAGAAATTTCAAAATTTATAAAAATTTATAAATTTATAAAAAAAATATATTCAAACTTCTTTGTTGATAAAATTCTGTACGATTTCATTTCATTGAAAAATCTAAACTAAAATAAAAAAATTTAAATTTAAAAAAATTTGTTTGAGCAAACAAATTACGAAAATTTCGAAATTATTAAAACTACTAAATAATAATATCAATTTAAATATTTACCTTTTTTTAAACTTATTTTTGTAATTTACAATCCAAATAATAAGCAGTTTTGCTAAAAGAATTAATCGTTCTTTTAACAAAAAATTACATATCTAAAGAAAAGAAAACTGCGAAAAACAACCAGAATTGATGCAAAATGACAAAAGAACACGATCGATCTTTTACTTTACTCGCTTTTGATTGAAGTTTAAACTGTTCAAGAAGATTTAATTTAATATCTAATTTAATAAAGATTTAATACTGAAATTCAATCTATTTTCCGCGAAACTATCGAATGGGACCTTGATTTAATCAAAAAAGCTAATATATTTAAGAAAATTTGATAAAAGAAGTGAAATGAAATTCAAAAATGAAAAAAAAATCCCAATATCGAGAAAATTAGACAATTGGAAATAGCGATTTTCACCTATAGTAGAATTTAACAGAATTTTAATTATAATAGAATAAAAACATTAGATGGACCAAGTGCCATTCATTAAAATGAGTTGGTAAGATCAAAAATGAAAACGAGTGCAATAAATAAATTTCAGCAAAAAAACAATGATGATGGCAGCAATTTTAAACAATAAAATCAAACGTTTGTGAAAACTCGACTCGACTCGATAAAAAATAAAAAAGAATTCAATTTTTTTTCGCATCTGCTCAAAAGATGGTAAACCAAAAAGGAGAAAAAAGACCTGTGCACCACGCCGACGAATCCGATTTACATTATCAGTGACAACGTCAGTTTCATCAACGATTTCGGCCTGGAGGATTTCTTCGACAATGTCTTCTAATGTGACTATCCCTACAAGTTCATATATTGGATCACTCTCCTCCGATTCTACTATACGTTGAACCATAGCCAAATGGTAATCACCCTAAAAATTCAATGAAAAGAAAAACGGTGGTTTTGTATAATATATACTTTTAAATAATCGGTTTTCGGATATGTTTCGAGTACATTTATTTATTCAATAAAAAAACCTTTTTAAACTCCTCCAACATAACCCTTAATGGTGTATCCTGCATAACGAAGCGTAGAGGATGCTCATGAAATCCACATACTGTCTGAATCGTAAAATTATCATCAGGATCAAGAAGTGCAAGATCCTTCACGAAAAGTAACGCAACTACCGAGTTACTGAAAAAAAAAAACAAAAAATGAAAAAAAATAAAACAATTCTCTGATAGCAAAAATTCTTATAGTCCAAAAACAAATCCACAAACAAAAATTTTTTACAAATGTAATTATTAGAATAGTTGAAATTTTTAAAAAGCTGAAAAAAGCTGAAATATTCCAATTATATAAGAAAACATAATACCGATCGCCTGAATAAACTGGAATTCGAGTATAACCCATTCGTAATATTTCTGCCACAGTTTTCGTATTAAGAACTGTAGTGTCCGGCAACATGAAAACATCCTAATAAAAAAATACTAATCGTCTCTTACTCGTCTAATAAAATAAGAATTAAATTATAAGAATTATAAAAATTATATAATTTTATTTTATAATATAAGAATTGTATAATTAAATTATAAGAATTAAATTCCTTGAAGGAATAAAATTAAATAATATTAAAAAAATTCAAAAGATTAAAAGTCAAGATTACGTCAATTTTCGTCATAACATCAGATACAGTCTTGTCAGATATTTCCATTGCACCAACAGCAATCTTTAACTCCTCAGCTAAACCTTCTTCATCACGTGTTGTCATTTTTATTAACTCCATCAAACGCTTTCTATCATAAGAAACAACCTGGAAAGTGCAACAAAATTTTGAGAATATGAGAATATGAGAATTTAATCTTTGTTAATTTAGTCCGCTTTATGAAATCTTATAAAATATGGTAATTTGTATAATAAGGAACAAATTAAAAATTAAAAATTAAAAATAACGAAAACTTTGTCACCTCATCACCCAATACACAGTCCAAAAGCTTGCTAATAGGATAAGCAAGAGGAAATGTTAGAACCATAAAAAAACGTGTAATCCATATTGTTCTCGCGCCAACAGCTAAACCTTTTCTACAAAAATTAAACAATAAAATATGTTAAAATGGATTCTAATTAGAAAAGAAAATGATAAGAAAATATAAGCAGTTTTAATAAAAATAATTAGTCAATAAAGCTTAGCTTAATGCGATAAATGATTCTGTATAAAGAAAAAAGAGAAAAAAAGGAAAAAAAAAGAAGCAATCATCGGTAAAACTACTAACTTTACACAAAGACTTTGTGGAAAAATTTCGCCGAAAATTACAATACCCGCGGATGAAGTAATAAGAGCAACATATCCACTCGTAAGATCATCAAATAAGATCGAAATCGCTGAGTTTACACAAACATTACCAATAAGCAATGCACATAATAGTAAATTGCCAGATCGACGTACGGGCAAAATTACTTCTGCATAGGCACGCTCCATTTTTGACCCTTCAAATTCATTCCTTATTCGAAAAACATTGCAAAATAAACTGAAAATTACCTGATTTTTGAATGAGCATCAACTCCTGCGGTGTGAGTGCCATTAATCCTAGATTTAAACCAGAAAAAAGCCCTGACAAAACAAAAAGACATAATATCAAGGCTACTTGTACAGCCACAGGTAAATAATATTTCCTTGGTGGTATTTCTGTTGATATTGTGGCGCGGATATCATGCAACTGAAATGAAAAAGAAAATTCAAAATGTTTAGATACAGAATAGAGAAAAAAGTAGAAAAAATTCTCATTCAAAAGAATATTAAATACGTAAAAAATATTTAAATAATAAACAGGAAATTGAAATAGAAAAAATATGGTAATCTATAATATCAAGCATCACTGAAAACAAAAAAACGAAAAGCTTTATATCCATTTTAGAAAAATTGAATTCGATTTTAAATGATATATTAAATGATGATTTTAGCAAATATAAAATATAAAAATTGAATACTGCTGAAAAATTCATTTGAACTTCTTCACCAGTCGGTGTCTCCCTAGGCTTTTGGCGGACGCATACATAATATGGTTCTTTCGAACTAAAATATATTAAGATTACTACATATTAATTTATCATAGGCTGAAAAACAATATGAATAAACAATTATAAACAATTATATAAACAATTATATGCTAAAAAATCACAATTATTATTATTAAGACAAAATCCAACTATCTTATATCCAATTTTACATGATTTATATTCATGAATAAAATTAAATAAAACAATAAAAAAAAAAATTTGCAAAAAAAATTTTATTAGCGGCAATATATGATAATATTAATATTAATGACTAAAAATAATCTTAAATCTATAAAACAAACTCTGGAAACGATGCTTTGACGACTACTCTCTTTTCTGTTTGAATCAAAAAATCTGGCTGAGAAATTGCGACCACATAGTTTGAGCAGTTATAAGGATTTGTTGCAAAAGCGACCAAAGCTATATCATCCATACCAAAGCCGAATATAATGATACGAACTTCGGTATCAGGATGCACAATTGAAACTTCCTTTTCTCTTAAGTTATGTATTATATTCAAAATTCGTCGAAAATAGCAAAAATAATGACGTAGTTTTGACAATGAAAGAAGTACTATTGAGAAATAAAAATAAAAAATAAGACAATTTCAGAAAAGGCTTAGTGGACCACATTAAGATTCTAAATATGCTACAAAATATGAATTTTATTCCGGCTCATAAAAACATACGTATATCCAACAAAACCATCATCTTCAGCAGGAAATCCTTCAACACGAATCCCAGAAAGATGAGTCCTTTTCTCGGTTGTAACGAACCCCGCACCCGACGCATCGCCATTTACAATCTGCAAACAAATTAAGAGTTTTCGAGAATGAATAAATTGAAAATAAATAAAATTAGAGATAACTTAAATAAATTAGAAAAAAATTATTATAAACAATATTTATTAAAGTTAATTATCTTAGCGAATATGCTAGGCAAAAAAATGAACAAAGTAATTAATGAAAAACAAAAGATCCAAATAAAAACTGCACCCTTGTGTCAGTAGTTTTTTGTATTTCAGCTTTAACACCTTTAAGGATGCAAATGCTAGCTATAACCAAGATGCTTAATAAAAGCCATTTTTCCATCAGCATTACCCTTTTATACAGAAATTTTCTAAAATAAAAATTTTTATGACAATTAGCGTCTTTCTTTTCCAGGCAAGAAACAGAAATCGCAAAACGAAATTTCAAGAAAATTATCTATGAAAAAATAATTCATAGTGCACTGACGTCGTCGAATGGCGTGTTCTTTTGCTCTCAAATAATCTCAGACGAAGAGATCAACTGTTATTCCTTGAAGAGAGGTGACTGATGACCTATTTTCCTGTCCCCATGTGATTTTGCAGTGAATAAATCCCATCTTAATAGTCAACACCAAGTCAAAATAGGAGTGGTAAGTACCGTTAAAAGCACGAAGACAACCCATTTACACAGAGGAAGATTAAAGTAGGCAGTGATAAGTCTGTGCAAAAGAAGCGTAAATATCGCAAAATTTTATTAGAGAATATTGCAATAATCAACAATTCATCAGTATGGGAAAACAAATTTATTACATACTCAACGAGAGCTTTTTTTCAATTTTTCAAGTGTGACCTATGATAATTAAGCAAAGCTACAATCCAAACAATCCAATCCTAGAACGAAGTGGCTAAATACACATTTCATATCAATGTATACCACTGCGTTTTTGGTGAGCAACTGTCATGCTTGTACCTCCAGAAGTGGCTAAATACACACTTCACATCAATGTATACCACTGCGTTTTTGGTGAGCAATAGTCATGCTTAATTCTCCAGCTTCATTCACTGTACTGAGACGTAATTTTCATACTTTTGTTGTATATCCCATATTTTAAAGGCGATTCTTTCCTAAGATTTCTGCAATTACCAAATCCGCAGTATTCAAAAGGTTTATTTTAATTTATTGATATTTCGTTTCATTTCTAAGAATCCAATTAAAGCGATATTTGCTGGCTATACAGCATTAAATGGCATAATTGCGAGCGCGCAATATTCACGTCCTTTTTTAGCTGCGTTTAACCTTTGAATTATACATTATCGTGAATTGCTCGCAACAATTTGTGTTAAATTATAAGAAACGCACGAGAAAAAACAATTATCCGACTCAGCATTCAAGACAAAAATATCGAAGCCTATTATTTTAATATTAAACGCAACACACTGGCTGTGAGCCAAATAACCACCGTCCCGATGGCTCCAAGTTTCGTTTTGAGACCTATCATTTTTATTCCATGTCAGGGAATAGTGCGTGGTAGTAAGAGAGGCTGACTGAATGAGTAGAAAAGGAAGGCTAATGGGACAGCACGGCACTTTGGCAATGCTGTCCATGTAACCGAAAAGTTTTGGCGGCATTTAGTACGAGAGAAATTTTTGCCAAATCTCGTGCTAAAATGGTAAGTTAGCCACTTGCTCGTATGTTATTTCTTGTGTTGATTATCCCAAAAATTCTCATTAACAAAGAAAACTTGGACGCCAATGCTGAAAAATTACTAAAATAAAAATTAATTCATTTAAATTGATAAGAATTAAAAACAAAGATTACTAAATTAAAAATAATTTAAATTTCAGAATTATATCACGACCTAACTGCGCGAGAAACATGAGAAACACCCTTAGATGTTTCGCCTTAGGTGCTCGCATATTCCTAAGCATTTAAAAGTTTTATATAAAAAAATTATAAAAATTCCTGTAAAAAAAACTTTTCTTTCGTCCCCTCTGTGAGTGGTCATGATTAACCCTGGGTTCTCTACCAGCAGTCTAGCAGTCTAGTGATTGAGGGTTCTGCCCTTAGCTGTTCGCTTTAATAGTGCGCTCTTATGATTAGAGATCTCTAATATTGTTCCTGGAATATGCTGAAGACACTTTTCTAGTTTAGGGGTTATAATTCCAAGTGCTCCAATGGTCGCTGGAATTATTTTGGAATCGCTCTGGGATAACTTTCCATATCTTCTCTAGCTCCAGTCCCTGGTATTTCTCTAACTTTTCATATTCTTTCTCCCCGTTCCTTGGTGTTACTATATCTATCATCAGTGCTAATTTCCCATTCTTGTCTGTTATCACGATATCTGGTTGATTGGCCAATACTTGTTTATGTATTTGCATGGAGAAGTCCCAAAGATTTCGCCTTATTATTCTCTACGATTTTCTGAGGAATCTCCTGCTTAGTTTTGGGAGGGTTCTAAGCCTTATATCGAGCAGATGTTCCTATAGGTGATGTTACCAGCTACTTGATGTTTTTTAGTGTATGTTGTCCTTCATCTAAAGTCCTGTCAAGTGTGATAGATCCTTTTTTCGATGGATCTGTTGCCTGCCCCTGTGTTGCTATAATTAATACTTCTGTATTGCTTTTTAGTTCGGCTTTCACCAACGACTGGTAGGATTTCATAATGACAGCATCGCTATCTGTCGATGGCGATCCATGAAGGGCTTTACTTTGCCGTGGTATTTCCTCTGCTTGATCGTTTTTCGGTTTGTACATGCTTCTTTCAACAGTTCATCCACTGATGCCATCTTGCTAAAATGAAAATGATATTTTTGAATGCTTCGAGTTTCGTTCAAGGTGGTGGCTTTCATATTGACCAAGCTCCGCCAGTTTTTTTCCGGCTAGTGTATACCCTTTGGACATTGGACTTGGGGTGGAAATTTCTGTACATTGTGAGGTGTTTCCTGGTCTTTATTTCCTTTGACCATCTTGCAGCTGTGTACCTGTTGACTGGTAGAGCGTATATATTTATGGCATAGATTTTCTTCATCCCATTGGGCTGGTCCTTTAAGATTTGTTTTGTTCTCGTGATATTCAGATACTCAGTCATTTTTCACTGTTTCTTTATCGTGGTTGCCATGTGACTGTGGGATACGAAGGTGCTTGTAGCTTGTCCGTATGTCTGGATGGCATATCCACCCCATTAGTCATCACTATTTCTCCTCTCTTTATTATCATTCGGCAACCCTTCTCTATGCCAGATGACATCCAATGTCATCGCTGTAGATCCAAGTTAGATGGATGAGCGAAACTTGATGCCATCCATGTAAAAAAGATTCTTGAATTTGTATCCATATTCACTTCTGGTGATTATCTGACTGAAAGGGGTTTAGAACTATGCAGAATAGGGAAGACAGCATCTCATTGGTATGTGCCTATGCAAGCTGTTTCAAGAAAGTGTCGTTTTCCACAATCCCATTGAGTTCTCAATGAACATCTTTAGGGTCTTATTGAGTATAGTGGCAGACATTCGCAAATCCACGTGTGGGGCACATGATTTTATATAGTTAATCCGAGCCGTACATAGATTAATCTGCCAGGATTTGAATCTAAGGCCACTGCCTTATCTATGAGCAGCTGGTGTTGCATTTTAAACTGCACTTTTGTAATGGATCATATGATCATGAAACTTGATGATGCTTGACAAGACTTTTCACTTGACAATATTGTGGGTAGGGGCGGATTATTAGTCGGTAGTTGGACGATTTTGCTCACTTATGAGGTTCTTTCTTGATCAATACTATCATTCCTTGTATTAACCTATCTGGGTGAAAGTTTACCATAAGTAGCTGGTTCATCTGTGCTGCTAGGCTCGTAAACCTTTGTTAGCTTCATTAGCCAGTAGATGTGGCGTGGATTATGTCTGGACTAGGTTTTATCCAACTTTTTATATTTTTGAGTCGCTGTTGGATTTCATTGATTTCATTGTGATAGTAGCTGATTCATTGGCTCTGTTGTTAACAATATTAACGTAGGGAATACATCTTCAGTCCCTGCTTTGTAAATAACAAATGACTGACTTAGTGGTGCTGTTGTCCCACTAATGTTTTTAGTCTCTCTAACTCTCTAGCGAAAAGATCTCATTCAGAATAAATCAGAAGTACTAACTAGAAGGAGAGTAAATAATAAGAACAAATAAAACCAATGTAACGAAAAAATGACTTAGCCACCGAAATCCAAAAATGAAGAAATGAAAGGGCACAGACGAAGCACAATGAAAATGAAACATATGGAACTACACCTGAATTTTATTGAATCGATAATCTTTTTTTCCTCGTTGGCTTTAGTTTTTATAACATTTATTAATCACGTAATCCTTATTTTAAAAAATTGAAGACAGAATAGTGGTTATTTTGTGCGGAGCATCTTGCAGAAGCTAAACGGTTTCTGTCCTCGACTAGTAGGAGTAAACTATTACATTAAAAGAAATCCACGTGCTGCCAGCCACCCATTTCTCAAGCCAATAAAACTTCTCACTGCTTTATCAGTTAATTTCTAACTGTGTCAGTGGAATGAGCCACAAAGGGTGAGTGCTAAGCACTTGAAAAAATTATTAAATTATTATTCACTATCAACAGATATCTTTATTATCATATAAACGGTAAAAATGATAAGACAAATTGGAAATCATAGAGAAATAAATGCAGCTGATGCTGATTTTGCTAATAATAATAACAATAATGATGATGTTTTCGTGTCTATAAATATTATTCCCATTTCATGCATAATTTTATTTCAATATTTTGCATAAATTGTGTCGACTGTTAATATTTGTTTAATATAATTTTAATATAATCCTGAAACAGCAAGCAAAATATTTCCATCCGTTATTAATATATTCATTTGATAATGGACTTTTTTACACGCTCAACATTTCTGGGCGCAACGGCCTATCGTGCCGAGGGGCAGCACTTCCGCTTTCTACTGCCCTCAAGACTGTCATTCAAGAAGTCATTTTTCTTTTGCATGAACCCACTGTGCGATTCCACATACATGGATTTCGTATCCACTTTTCTTGCCGTACGATTCCAAAATAGACCTATTAATAAGATACGCCACAACGAAGAACCGACGAATCAACGGCCAATAATCGGCAAGTATGACATATTCGATGTGATTTTTCAACGATGTGCCATGAAAAATTATGGAGCTGCTATAGTTAATTAATTCTCGAAACGAAAATCACAGGGCTTTATCGAGGAGTAACGTAGCTGAGATTCAGTCACAAAGTTGAAGTTGAGGCGCCATGGGTTTTGATGGGTAAGTTTTTCGGTCTTTTGCTTATCTTGGTTGAAATAGACTTAATAGAAGTACTTAATAGAAGTAATGGTAGCGACAAGAAGTTATAATGGCCGCGGGTGCAACATTAGTGGTAATAATAGTGGCAATAATAACAAACATGAATAATAGTAGTAGGAACAGCAGCCCTAAGCGCCCACCTTTCTGAACCCCCTGGAAGCTTTCCGCCTTACCTCATTCTCTCGGGCCTCTGGTAGAGGACCTGAGCAGCCTCGTACCACAGGGTGAAATACCACCAATTTAAAATATAATAATACCTGTCAAAACAGTAGTGATGTTGATAATAATGGTGATGGTAATGGTAAAGGAAATAATAAACACAATCATCAGAGTAATGTCTTAATTTAGAAGAAAATTTTAATTTTTTCGGTTAAACTTAAATTTTTTAAAATCGATATTTTACATTTTTATTGTTATAAATGAATAGTTTGGGATATTTTTCGGCTAAGTTGGCAGCATAATGAGGAAAGACATTATACATTATGGAGAGATGTTGAGGAGATTGAGAAGTTATAGGTGCAAGATGAATGGAGTGGTTTATTATGAATAGATAGGAGAAAAATGAAATAATGAAAATAGGACCAGTTGTCTCAGGGTATCGAAGAATATCGATTTGTTTCAGGCGTTTTGGTGAATTAAAACAAAGTTTTTTTAGATCAGTTCGTGCTAAAACTCATCATGGCGAAAATTCAAGAAATTCATTAGGTGCGAACGGTAATTTTTTGCATGGTCCGCCACCACTGATGTTTCCACCACGGCTTCCACCACCGCCTATATCGCAATTGAACCAAAATCTGTCTGTTCCACTTCAACAACAACAACAGCAACAACAACAGAACATCATTGAACAACAGCATTTACAAGCACCTTATTGTGGAGAATCTTTACAAATGGAAGTTGAAGAAGAAAAACAAAAACCTGAACCGACTCTATCTGAAAGACTAATTTTATTGCGGAAAAGAGATATCGGCTGCGATGTTAATTTTGTTATCGGTAGTGAACCAAATGTAAAGGTTATTTTTCGATATCAAATAATTTTTTTAAATAGAAATGTTTTATATTTTAATCAGGTAAAGTAAAGTTTACCTTGAAATTTTTCGAGGTAATTTTCAGGGTGAAAAGTTAATTGCTAACGTCATAATTAGCATCGATCAATTAATTATATATAATGTCCCAATGTCTTATGAGAACCAAATCCATTTTTTATTTGAATTCAGTTATATCCTCGCTGTCCCACTAAAAGAAATATCCAAAAATGTTGAGAAAAGAAGATTTAGAAAAAGATTGAGATTCCCTAATGAATTATTTCCGATTCATTAATGGGATTGGATTGAGAAAGAGTTTATAAAACGCCTCTTTTTATAAACTCGTTACCGGTTGAGGAAGTGCCCGATTTTAAACCTTGGATCCTAATACCGAATGGCCAAGCGAAATAGGGAATTACAACCGTATAATGGCATCTGTACGGTTGATGGAACTGTAGCGAAATCACCATATAAACTAAAGTCTATATCCATATTGCCGCGATTCGTTCGATCTTGCTATTTGGCTGTGAAACCAATGAGATTGGAGGATGTTAAGACGTTATCTACCTTTGACCACTTATATCTAAGGTATATTTTACGGGTTCGCCGAGTGGATAAAATCTCACATCGCATCCACTTTCGTTTAAACACCATTAGCAACACCATCACAGAGTGTCGCTTTCGATGATTAGGGTACCTTCTTCTTTTCGCAGCACAAGAGTTTCATTGCGTGATGTGTGGCGTTAAAAGTAGGTGGAGATCTTGAATGATAAGGTCAGGAAAGATTTTGAACGTATGGAGGGACCAGCAATATATGGATTTAAACTATGGAAGAAAGAGTGATATCTATTACATGTCGATGATGGCATTGGTTCGCGCATCTTGGAAACATCTTAACCCTTGTAGCCAGTTGAGCCAGCTTAACCAGTAATAGTGAAAGCTGTTAGAAGAGGAGGAGGAGGAGGAGGAGGAGGAGGGAATGGGATTGGTCCAGCTTGTACTTATTCTCCACTTTTATCGTTATTGGCTTCAAAAATTGTATGTTTTCTCATTGTCCAGTTTTTGGGATTTTCTATAGTGCATTTCAATGGATTAGATTTATTTTTTTTTGTTTTTGAAAATATTAATCTTTCTTAAAGTCACCCTTTTTCCTTCTCTTTCAGTGTTATAAACTTTTTTATTTATGATCTATGTTTTATTTTATATTTATTTGGTATATTTACCGGCTCGGTCGAAGTTTCAATTCGGTCTTTTAGGTTATTAAAGCCCATCGTGCCGTTTTAGCTTCTGGTTCAAAAGCATTTGAAGAAATGTTTTTCAGCAATAATGCACCATCGCCAGTTGCGAAGAAAAGAAGAACTCGTTTGTTTTTATTTATTGTTATTAAATATTTTATTAAATATTCAGTTATTGAATATTTTGAACTAGTTTTAGATTTAGGTTGTAGACTGATATTTTTTCTCAGAATAAATAGCCGAAATAGCAAGGGAAAAAATGAAAAATTATAAGTATACAGCTAGGAATGACCATAAAATAAATGTAAATTAAAACAATTATTTAAGCTTTTTTTTGTGTTTTTTCATAAAATTCCATAGCTATAAACGAAAGTCGTAAAGTTTGGTCATCGTAAACAACAAAATTAATAGAAAAATAAAGTGAAATTGAGTTAAATCGTTTATTTTGGTGGTGAAATGTATCATATTTAATCAGAGCTAGATTTAAGCCATTTCGTGTTGGGAAGATCCACCTTGAAATGAATTTGGTGACTCACCAAATTTACACCTAAATTCTCCTTTACTGCATGTCACTAGAGTTGATAAGTCATACACAGTAGAAAGATTCGAATATTTACACATATGTATATATGAATTTATATACGTGTTTAAACCATTAGAAGCGGATTTTTAGAGAAGGAATTAAAAAGAACGTAGAACGTAGGATATATTAGCAGTATATATTATCTACAGAAAGCATTTCTTACTTTTCTTTGCATCGAAGAATCTTCAAATCTGAACTTTTTAAATTTTGAGCATCCTATAGGCGTGGAACACTTAGTCTTTTTTATGTCATTGTGTTTATCATCCCTCTATAATCTCTTTATAATCCCTTTTTAAACAACTAATGAAAATAATTAATTAACCCTTGGGAAATTCATCATGGCATTGCTTGTTTAGATAAATTGAATTCCTCCTGAGAGTTGGACAATTTCATAAGGCCTTTATACCTTCTATTAATACCTTTCAGTGATAAGTTTCAGTTATCTTCTGTGCATCAGGTGTGCGGCATAAAGAGACTTGATGAATTTGAGCGTCTTATGTACTATCTACTATATCATTTTATATTTTTTTGAGATAAATGATCTAAAATGACATTCCATTTCATCTCTTGATGAAAGGTTAACATTCTTTGTGAACAGTGTTGGATTCTCATCCTAATTTTTGCTTGTTTTTCTTTGCATTTCTTTAGTTTTGGTTCCTTATTGCCACAGATGTTCCTTTAGATCCATCAATTTCTTCAGATTAACTTGAACTCGAATAACTTTATTTATGCAGTTGAATCGTTGAGGAAAATTAAGTTTCATTAACTCGACGATTCGAATAATTTCATCACATTTTTTCATCGATTTTGTCTACCAATATTCCAGCTTTATTTCTTGCCTTGCGTATTCCAAATCATTTTTAATGTCTAATGATATTTTGAATGCAATTCTATACATCTAGATAGCTTCGATAGTATTGGCCTTGCTAACGAATGAGTGTCTAACAAGTATTGTTTTGTAATCCTTCGAAAAACTTAGATTTGCCCATCTGTTGTTGATGCAGAAAAAAAAATATATAATTTTTATATATAAAACCATATTTACCAATAGCTTCATCATGGCAAGAGGTAGCAGGTGTTCAACAAGATTCATTGAGCAGATTCAGAATGGAAATTTTTGTTGGACTTTTGTTCCTAAGTCAAGCTTTCATTCTTGGGTATTAATCGAACATTAATATTGTCGTAAGATCGTTTTCTGCAATATTTGCAAGTAATACCTTATTTTTTTCTAGAAGTTCCGGCAGAGATAGATTTCAGTTTTGTGAGAGTCAAACTGTAAAGGCTTGACCTGCTTTTCAGAAACAACATCGCACTGTGATTTGGTTATTCAGTATGAACTAGTCTAGTATTGAACTTGTGGAAAGTTAGTTTTTAGTTCTGCCTTAACATGGCTAGTGATAGGTGTGACAAGTATTGATGGAAACTAATAGAAGGAAAACATACGCAGATTTCGTGGAACTTACAGTTTCATATGAATATTATGCATGGTCACTAATTTTTGAAGGACAAAAGGAACAAATCTAAAGAATGGATATTTCGTAAACCAGTTGAACATCAGATGAAAAAACAGTAGAATTCTGAAGGGGATTTTCACTTATGATGAAAACATTTTGTGTAATAGGAAATAGTCGGCGTGGTATGTGGGCAAGGTCAGTTTCTTTGATCCTTACCAAAACTTGAAGGTTTTCCTTCCTTCGAAGATTTTGGTGGGTTAGATGTGGTGATTACAACAGAATCTACAATAAAAGAGAAGTCTACTATGGGCCAAGATTTTCCATTCCTACGAAAAAATATCACCATATTGCTTGACAACCCCAGACTGCAAGGGGTAAAAACAAGTGGAAAAATGTGAATATTAAAGCTTTCTTATTGAACAGACATTCCCCAGATCTTTTCAAACTTTCTTCATTTCTTTCGTCAGCTTTCTCAAAAGGATAAACTTTCGATAATATAGTGATCTCCGAAATATATCCCGGCAGTTTATTGTTTCCAACGATTCGGATTTTCAAATGGAATAAATGCAAATGGATAAACAATAGCAAATGGAATGGAATAGATAGATAGATTTTTTTTATCATGTTGTCATGTTGGCAAAAAATAAAAATATAAGTGATGCTCATTCTGGTTAGAAATATTGATTTTCTATAGAATTACCGTCTTTCAAAGGCCTTTCAAAGAAGTAAAGAGAGAGAATAGTATATTCTTTCAAATAGTATATTTTTCGATAATCTAAATTTTCTTTTAAATGTAAAGAGAGAGTATATTAGAGGTGTGGTGAGACCACATCATTGGGAAGTTTAATAATAGGTGATAATAATAGAGACATCTTTTGTCTCTAGTTCTTTGGCTAATTTGGTTCTTTGGTTAAGCAAAAAAGTTTTTTTATTAGTTTTTAGTTTTATATTAATTTTTTTAGTTTATATTAATTTTTAAGTTTTTTATTTCTATTTTTTTATTTTTTATTTCCTTATTTATAAATATTTTGTGTATAATTTTATATTTTTTCAAAAAGTTTATTTATTTACTTAATTTATATTTTGCGAATTTAATGAAAATGTTGTGCTTTATTTCCATTTATAAGTTAATATAGATAAATTAAATTATTTTGTTGGCTAATTGCTTATTAATTGACTATAAGTTCAGATAATGGTTTGGATGAAGTATTGTCGATCGACGTAAATGATATTTGCTATGATGCATTCTTTTGTCTTATTTGCTTTCTTTATTCGGATTTCAAAATTAATTTAGGTGATATACCAGAATCAGCGATCCTGGATACTGTTTATGCAGGTATTCTTTCTAAAAAGAAGAAAGTGAAATTAAGTAGACAATTTTTTGAGAAAGGAAACTTCAAAATATTCTGGTTTTCTCATAAATTATTTAAACATTTTTTATAGCTCGAAAATATACGGTACCGCAGCTGGAAACATTATGTGTGAAATTGTTAGGCGATTTATCGCCTAGTAGAGCTATATCATTGTTGGAACAGGCGCAAAAGTTTGGTTCGACTGAACTTTTGGATCGTTGTTTTGAAATCATTGATAATCGCACCGATGAAGCTCTTTCATCAGATAGTCAGTTTTTTTGCGAATTTTCTTTATTGAAAGGAACATAAAAGTGGCCGGCTTTCATTAGTTTTCCATCTCTGGAATTTTTTAGTTACAGAATGCATTATAATAATTGGATAGCTAAATATTTTAGGTTTTCTGTTGCTGAAAAAGCAAACTATCCAAATGGTGCTTGAACGTTCGGAGCTCACGCCATCAGATGAACTTATTGTTTATCGAGCTACTCTTGCTTGGGCTGAAGCTGTTAGTGATATATTCTTATTTTTATTTTTTATGCCCAAAATTCTTAGATAACCAGCTTATATTTCGTATAAGAATATTTGAATATTGTTGATTAAGGAATGTAATCGTCAATGCATCGCAGAAACTGACAGCAATAAACGTAAAGTGCTGGGTGATGTGTTTAATGAGATACGATTTCCAACAATGACTATTGAAGAATTCGGCGAAGTTGGTAAGCATATCATTTTTGGATTAAAGAAATTTTTGTGAAGACTAATTGCTTATAATACGTATTTCTAGCTAATGGTAATATTTTAACGGATAATGAAATCGGGATATTATTCCGTTATCTTTCATCAACTGTTCGATCTACTTTGAAATTACCATTTGTTACAACTGGTTAGTGAAATTTTGCTTATTTCATTTATAATCTATTTGGGCAAATATTGGTAATATAATTTGAATCAGAAATATTGATAACATAATTTGAACCTAGATAATTTTTTTGTGAATCTTATTTGTGGCATTCCATTAATTTTTCTTTTAATTTCGTTTAATTAAATTTATATTGGTTTTGTTTTTATTCTTTTTTTTCTTATTGAATCTATACATCTTGGCCATCATCATACACAGTTGTAATTGTTTAGCTTCATATTCTGCAAGAATTCTTTTTTTAATATTTCTAAATATATTTTAAATAAGGTTATAGAACGTCGATGCTCCGGTCGTTCAAAACTTGTTGTGAAACGATTTATGATGCTTTCGAAAAACACATGGAAGAAACAACGGAATTCAATTTGGTATATACTTTTTTCAAGTTTGGCCTTTAGCAAGAATAAATTTATATAGTGGGCTACGGTAAGATTATGGTTAGAATCAAATTGTGCATTTATTAATTAATGCATATGCGTTAAATGTTCTCTTGATGTTTTCGCTTTTGAAGATCATTTAGTTAGGTTCAAATCATTAAGCGTTCATGTTTGCTTTCTTATGGCCATAACGCTGTTCGGATTATTCAATATCATAGCTTATTATCTGGTGATGTTGAATGTAAACTTCTGATTTTCCATTTGCGAAATTCATATTTTAATTTGCTCTATAGGATTCCATTCTAGTTGGATTTCATCTGGTTAAAATTTGATAAATTTTGCTATTAATTGATATTAATATAAAAGATTTAACATTTGTAAAATAGCTCGAGTCTAAGAGAATATTCAAGAAATATTTTCATATCGAAAAAGTGTGTTTCTGCATTTTATTAAAGATTCCCCAGTTGGCTTCAGAAAAATATATGAATGCAGTGGTAGAAAGTATTCCTGTTGCTAGCAAGTGTGTGAATATGAATTTCCACGTGCTGAAAACTTGAAGAGTTTATACTTCCTTTTATATATAAATCTGATAATTTTAAAATTTTTCGATGGTTTTATAATTTATATAACTAATACGTTAATCATTTAGATATAGTTATTATTGGCGAATAGTTTAAATTACTACTCTCCTTATTAAAGAAAGATAATTAAAGAAAATTATAAATTTTTATCATTGAAATGATAATTATAGATATATATTAAATTATTAATTATTGATTATTAATTATTGATGTATTATATTTTTTTATATTGATTAAAGGTTTATTGTGAATCGAGAGATTCTGGTTTCTGCGCTCGGAATCTACGGTATCATATCTAATGAGAAGAACCCGGAGGGTGCTGAATGGGAAACAACCGTTGAAATTGAGGTTGCATAGCTTTGCACAATAGTTCATGTAAACCGCGCCACATTAATTTGTATTTTAGTTCTAAAAAATTTCTCTTGGGTTGATTAAAATAGTTAGCATATTTATGTTTGTATACTTATCGAACCTGGTAACAAATTGCCTAATGCTCTTCGCAAATTTTTATGGAGGTTTTTTGTTTTATTTGCCTTTTATTTCTTTAAATAACTTTATGATCTGTAATTATTTTAATACATTTTTATTTGATTTGATTATGTAAAGGTTTTCTTTTTTTGATCCTCCATTTTTTTCAAAAATATTTTAAACTTTACTATATCGATATCGCCTAATATTTCGTGAAACAATAGAATATTATTTTTTGAGTTATCCGATAAGTAGTATTTTTTTCATTTGTGGCATAATCATTTTCGAGTCATCATATCAAACTTTTGAGTGTACTTTAAATTACTTTAAACAAAATTGAAAATTTAAATAAAAAATGGACTATTCTAGCTGTCCTGTTCTCAAAGCAATAACATTATGAAAGAAGAAGCGCAAGTTATTGCTCATGGGACATATGGCGATCCTCGTGTCATCCCTCTTCGTTTTAAGAGACCAGTTCGAGTTTTGCCTTATATCCCATACAAAGCTTCTGTTGCCTTCCAGGTTATTTTTTGAAGATTATTCCTATTAAGCTAACTTCATTTGCTTTATAGGCCACACAGATTTTGTCAGACTGGAATATATGGATCGCGAGCACTATCAGGATTATGAAAAACAGATTTATCCCTTAGTAGAACACTAGCATCGGCTCTCAAAAGAGAGATTAAACGTCAACTCATTGAACCGTTTCCACTGTACCTTTGTTCTAAATTTTTTATCGATAAAATTTCAAGCATTCGTTCAAACTTTAGAATTATTCTTATTCTAGGAAGAGGTAGAGACATATGCTGGAGGAAATGGAGCTGAGGATGTTCGGCTGCCTGTGGGAATCAGTGGAACTTCAACAGAACAAATAAGTGGTTCAGCTTCACCTGCTCCTGTTGCTGATTCTGCTTCTGTCCATTTCGCTTTTCACAATGATGATCCATTCGGTATACGTCGTGGAATGACGAGAGGACCAGCTGTTTTTGCAAATGCTATCGGTGGTTTCTACAATCGTCCTGCCAGTCGTGCTCCTCCACTTATATCAGAGGGTTGTTTATATGAAGGTCAACTACCGGAAATCTATTTTTCCATATCCAACGCAATCAAAAAAGAAGTTAAGGATAACTGAGTGCTTCGTATTAATTTTAATATTTTTTAATGATTTTTGGTTTAATTTTGATTCATGTTCAGTATTTTATAACATTCCACATTTACGTTATTTGAACAGTTAATGAAGCCGGCTTCATTTGTGAAAAGGAGTGAATTTAATGATCTTAACTGTAACGTGGTCATATTTTCAGTTTTTATTTTTTAACGTTAAGTTTGCACAAATTGATTAATTTCATTATTCAGGGCAGCTTCTTTTATTGCTTTGTTCTGTCTAAAATATTGGTTCCGTTTTATCAGCAAATATCAAAAAATAAAACCATTCAGCGGTTTAAAAAGTGAAATTGTATTCTAATTTTCATTACAAACTATAGATGGTAATTTTCCATGTTAATATGCTTGTGTTGGGATTCGTAGCATCGTATTTCTTGAAGCTGCAACTTTTAAAACGTAAATGATTGCAATTGTTAAAATAAATGCTACCTTATTGTATCCTTTTAACATTCTTGAAGTTTTATATTGTACGAACGTTCCGTCAAATATCGTTGAATTTTCTTGCAAGATCTGATATGCACGCTTTTTCTTTTTCAGCTTTCACATACCATTGAAAAGTAGCATCTGGTGGTATCTATTAAGGCGCATTTCGGGATGGCGTACTCTGGTTTGGATTTGGCTGACTTTCGGGGACATTCCTTCAGTTTTGTCCCAAATTTTTATCCCACCGAGAAGGGCTATATTTTTTTGTATCATTTCAAATCTTTTACATCATGTTGGAGCAAATGGCGTCGTTCTAAATGTTTGGGATAATGCCACTATTGTTCTTTGACTCTAATTCGATTCCATAGCGGATTTACGCTGATCAATGGATGAAATTGGAGAACAATGGAAGATTATTCACATACTTCAGAATTAGGTGATTAAACCAACATAAACAATGAACAAATGAAAGGCGTGCGGCATTAAGGAAAATAGTTGCAGTATTAGCAAGGAACAGACTAAAAAACGATTTCAGTGTTGTTGGTTAACGGAATTCAGGGATTGAGTGGGAACTTCTCTCGATATTTGAATCGAACACTGCCATGTACGTTGGACAGTTTCTGAAGTTGTGTACGGGGTGTATGCTATGCAAAGTGAGCCTTGCGTGTTGTATGGTAGGTGCCTATTTTGATGGATCTAATGCTTAGTACCCTTTTTATGCTGCTATGATCCCTTGGTGCTGTTGGGATTCAATCCAACCACTGGTAGGGCACTTCTTAACTGCCTACGGTACTCTCATGGAGAGTTTTTCTTTATCATGGTCCATTATCTGTTGATGTTTCATATATTCTCTCAGCAGCCATCCTTTGGTGATGTCTTGCTGAAATTCTTTATTTATTTTAGTTCACTGGCGTTAGCCCTCACCATTTACCACTTTCCTTCTTTCCTTCTTTCCAGCTGTTGTAGATATGGGATGGAATCTCCGTGCATTGTTGGGATTCTAGGTTATCCATGTCTTGACCAGTGTCACTGTGCCAGCTATTTGTAGACTGGTCGTATATCTGACGTATATCTGACGTGGATTTTCCCATTGAGTTGATTCTTTAAGGTCTTACTCTTTAGCGGTATTTGGATTTTGCTATTATCTTGTCTATTATCCTTCCATCTTCATCATGGTTCCCGTTTAAATATGGGATACCAAGGCACTTGTAAGCCACTTCTGATATAACATGCCCCGCTGGTAGTTTTATCCCACTGCTAATTTGCATCTCATTACCATTCGGCCACACCTCTCCAATCCGAATGGCATCTAAATGTGCATGCTATATGTTCGTTTTAGATAAAGAAGCGAATCAATATCTCGTTCGCTTTAACATAACGTGATTTCATCCATGTAGTGAAGATGGCTGATGGTAGTACTGCTCTTAAATTTATGTCGCATCCACTTCTTGCGATCGTACTAAGGGTAAACCTGCGCAGAACAATAGGGGGCGATTCCTTATCTTGATATATGCCGCACATGGTGGCCACTTGTGCAAGACAAATGTCGTTTTCCACAGTCTCATTGAGTTTTCGACGAATGTCTTTAGGATCCTGCTAAATTTATATAGAGGCGGATATTCACATATCATGTGAGACATTGAGTCGTAAGTTTCCTTATCCAAGCTGTGTACAGATTAATCTGTTATGATTTTGAGTCATGAGTTTTAAAGACTGCCTCATCTATGAGAGATTGGTATTTTGAGCCTCTGATATTTCCAAATTTCCAAATTTCTCTTTGAACTGCACCCATGTAGTGGCCCATACAATCGTAAAGCTATGATGCTTGACATGATAGTCGGTAGTTGGATGGTGTTGCTCCCTTATGAGGGTCCTTGACCTGTGTATTCCTTCCCCCCTATTCCTCTGTTAATTAACTAGTCTAGGTGAGGGCTGCCACAAATAGCTGGTTCATCTATATTGCTAGGCGTTAACCGCTGTTACTTTCTTTAGCCCATAGGTGCGGTTATTCGATGCCGTTCAACTTGTCTTTGTTGGATGTCTGTAATTCTTACACTGACTCATTTCTATTCTGGGAGGTGGCTTGTTCACAAATCTTGGACTCTATTTATGATTCTATAGCAGTTCGAGCTTGCTGTGGCATTGGCTTATGTTATAGTTATGAGGTCAATTCAGTTTCGATGGTTAACTCCAGCCAATTTATCAATAATTTCTTGCTTCATGTCAGTTTCTCTGCTTTGCAGTGGTGACTTTGGAAGGAAATTTCCAGCTTCCCAGTTTATTGGATGCATATTCCCTCTTCTTCTTTCATCTTGAGTCCGGGATATATAGTACAAAGTTAATCCTTTTTCAGTTGAGGGAGGATATACTTTTTTTATGTTGCAGTGTTGAGCGAATGGCTGTTCTCAGTTAATGTGGTTCGTCCACATCCAATGTATGCGTATAAAAGAACTTTTATATAAAACGAAAAATTTCTCACGCCCGTATGGGTGTCATAATCATGCTTCGGATCCTCTATCAAAGGTCTAGGAGATTAAGTGCAGTTCCTAATAGCGCTTTTCTGGATGGGGACTTGTGGTGTTTTTTCTGGAATCCGTTAAAGCTTTTCTAGTTCAGGGGTCATAATTCCAAGTGGTTCAATGCTGGAATTACTTTGGTTTTACTTTCTACATCTTGATGTTTCTCTTACCTCCTTTATTCCTTTTTTCTGTTCCTATTGCTTGGTATTGCTATATTAATCAGCAGTGCAATTTCTGATTCTTTTTTATTACCATGATATCTGGTTGATTGGCCAGTATTTGTTTATCTGTTTTGATGGAGAAGTCCCACAGGATTTTCGCCTTATTATTCTCTACGATTTTCTGGAGATACTTCCATTTATTCTTGGGTCCAAGCCTTATATCGAGTAGATGTTCTATAGGTGGTGCCAGCTACTTGCTTATATTTTTCATTATATGTTGTCCTTCATCTAAAGTATTGTGTGGTAGATCCTTTTTTCAATGGATTTGTTGCCTGCCTGCCCCTGTGCTGCTATAATACTTCTGTATTGCCTTTTAGTCCGGCTTTCACCAATCACTGGTAGAATTTCATAATGTCAGCTATCTGTCGATGGCGATCCATGAAGAGCCTTACTTTGCCGTGATATTTCCTCTGCTTGATCGATTTTTCGATGTTTATGCATGCTTCTCTCAACAGTTCATCCACTGATGCTATCTTGCTGATATGATATGAATGTTTTGTTTCATTCACGTGATGGATTTTGTAGACAGATTGGTCTGTCAGGAATATTTATGTACATAGAATATATATATACATATATATGTATACAAGTATATAGAGACCATCAAAAACTCAATAATGTGGAACACGACGCTTGAAGTTAACTTAAAAAGCTTGCACAAGTGTGAGATATATCAAGGTTACCCATTGCCTTTTCTACTCTATAGGTATAAACTCCCTCAGTCAGATTCACGAGAAGTGGTTATTGAATTTAATTATCACCAGACATTTTTGCATAGATGAGATCAAGTTATTTGCAAAAAATAAGAGATATTGTCTCGCTAATTCATATAACACGAAAAAGTAGTAATGGGATGAACCTGCCATTAGCAAACAGAGCGGACATATAGACTAGTGTTTTGCAACCCCACAATCACATAGTAGTCGCGATAAAGAGGTAAGAATGACTCCAACATAAGCCAGATCAGTGGGAAAAACAATTTCCATGCCGTAAATATGTATGATGGGCAGGCATTACGTAGGCAGATGGCATAGTAAGATGAACAAAAGAAGACATGAAGGTTTCTGTGAAAACTAGGAGATTCTTCACAATGCACGAAAATTTCCACCCTAAATTCTACCACTCAAAGAATATACATCAGCAGAAAAGAAGGCGAGTGGAGGATGAATGTAAAAGCCACTATCTTCAACGAAACCCGAAGCATTCAGAAAAGCATCAGCAAGATGACATCAAAGGGTAAACTGCTGAGAGAATATCTGAAGCATCTGTAGGCATTGGAAGAAGACCATGCAGAAGTACCATAGCAAAGCAAGACTCTCCATAGCATCATTGAATGATAGCTAAAGTATCTACAATGAAAAATCCTACCAATTGTTGGAGGAAACCAGACTAAAAGGCAATATTGAGGCATTGATTATAGCAGCATAGGAGCAAGTACTAAGCACCAAATCCATTGAAACAACAATCTACCACACTAAGTAGGACTCTAATTGCAGACTTGCTCCAGAAACAGTCCAATACATTGGCAGGATGTAAAATACAAGCAACATACACTGAAAAACATAACCAAGTAGCAGAAATATCATCTACAGAAATCTTTTGTGGATATTTATACGGTTTTCTGCTGCTGTAACCCTTCTAAATTTGTGTTTATACGATACATTCCAAAGATCTATCATATCTCGCAGTGCCACAGCCAAGTCACAAGTTGTTACAAGTTGTAAATTCACGAAAGTTAAAATCATGGCAACTAATAACAATTAATAAAAAAAATCTAGTTAGAATTTGAAGATGCTGGGAGAGAA